GTCGCCAAGACTATGTTCAAATAGCCTACATATCATTGCAGTGTTTGTCACAATAAAGTTAAAAAGGATTACCATCCTCATTGTAATTACCAACAATATGGTAGTCAAGTTTCTATTTTTTGCTGAGTATATATACAGATCATGGTCTATGAATCTCGTGGATTTGTTATCTGCATTGGAAACATGCAACCAAGTGATATATCAGTATGTTTTTTATATGTCAACCTACTTATTTTGCTTCAAAATAAACGATATGTAATATATACTAAGCAGCAAAAGAAACGTCAGTTTGGAATTTTCCTTCGCAGAAACGGATAACTGTAAACTCATTTAATGTTTTGATTTTATATTTTTGACAACATATCCAACTGAACCTGAGCAAAGACATTCCGTCCCGAACTCAGAATGGAACCCAGGAAATGGTCTCAAAAACGCAACCTGATCTCGGAGATGGTACAGTGTTCTCCATGTTTTTCATGCAACTCATGCTGCACGTGCTGTTCACAAGGACTAGCCCTATAAAATTCACCCCCAAACATTTACATTACAACGTCAGCAGGATGGCGCGACTCACGAAAGCTCAGAGGAACCAGGCGCTAGAGAAGACTTGAAGCTGGCCACACTGCACAAGCCGTTGCCAATCACTTCCAGGTCAACGTTCGGACCATCTACAGGCTGCAGCAACGTTTCCGGGCCACGTCTTAACAGCGGGAACCTCCATTGCCGTAGACCTTACCGTGGACCTATCCTCACCCCTCGTCATCGGCGTGAACGTCTACAGTTTGCCCTACAACACCAAAACTGGCGATACAGGCAATGGAGAACTGTTCTGTTCACAGATGAGAGTCGGTACTGCGTATCAACTGCAGATGGCAAAACAAGAATATGGTGACGACGTGGCTAGCGTTACTCAGGCCAATGCGTTTTGGAAAGAGACTCATGGGGAGGTGCAAGCATCATGATATGGGGTGGAATAGGCCTGAACCAGAGAGTTGGTCCTGTGGTGTTCCAGAACCTTAGTCCAGGGAGAGTAGGCGGCATCACAGAGGTGCGCTACATCGACCAAGCTCTCAGACCCCACGTCATACCACATTTCGCACGTCACCTGAACAACATTTTCCGGCATGATAACGCCCGGGCCCATACTGCCAGAGCTACACGGGACTTCTTACAGCAGAAGGGTGTCAACATTATGCAGTGGCCAGCCCTTAGTCCTGATTGAAACCCAATTGAACATCTTAGGGATGAAATTCAGAGGAGACTGAATAATGTCATGCCAATGCCAATGGCCTTCATCAACTGATTGGTGCACTCCAGGCATAGACGCTATGCTGCAGTTATTGTCGCTCGTGGTGGTCACACTTGATACTGAAGTCAAGAGTCTGAATGAACTGCAAACGTTCACGTAATGTCTTGAAATTGTGCTGAGTTATTCATTGATGTGTCAAGATATTGTACACATTAAATGTTTTTGATCTGCTTATTATGTCCATTTCTGTAATGATTTGATTACAGTGCCTATCAAATTTCAACACCCTATCAACACCCAGCACCCAACACCCAAATTCCCAACACCCAACACCCAAATACCCAAATACCCAACGCCCAAATACCCAAATACCCAACACCTCTACACCCAACATCCGAATACCCCAACACCCAAACGACCAACACCCCAACACCCAACGACCAACACCCAACACCCAACACCCAACACCCAACACCCCAACACCTCAACACCTAGCGACCAACACCCTAACATCCAAATCCAAATACCCAATACCCAACACCTCAACACCCAACACCCAATACCCAACACCCACACCTAAATACCCAATACCCAAATACCCAACACCCCAATGCCCAAATGTCCATTAACCAAATACCCAACACCTCAACACCCAACACCCAAACACCCCAACGACCAACACCCAATACCAACACCCCAACACCCAACGACCAACACCCAACACCTCAACACCCAGCGACCAACACCCCAACACCCATCACCCCATCACCCCAACACCCAACACCTAACACCTAACACCTAACACCCCAACACCCAACACACCAACGACCACCCCCCAGCCCCGGATCCACGTATGCTGCAAACAGTGGTTCAGCGCGTGTACTGGTGCTAACATCTGGCTCACGTCTCAAGGTTTTTCCCATGAAATGAACTATCAGGAAGTCAAGCATTTTGCCGATGTCCGATTCTGCTGTGAAAAAAAACCGCTTTCTAATTTAATTTGAGCTTTTGTTCTGAGTTACGTTATGCCGATGACGTGATATTTCGGTTTTCTTTTGTTTACTCGTTGGGAATCGTTGTGGGTAAAGGGAAAAAGTCTAACATTCGTATGTGTGTAATGTTTTTCAGATTGTAATGTTAGATCTCAGTAGTCACATATGGCTTATGCTAAATGTCTTGAAATGTCTTCGGTAGAACCAACGGATGTTCTGTAAATAATGCGACTTCTGGATCTTTCATCTTTGTATTTTCTGCAGTTCAAAATGCGGTGAATCGATATATCCCCAGATTACAGTACTATTAGTGTGGTAAGAGTTAGTGAGTGAATGAGTAAGTTCAGTTTTGCGTCGCTTTAAGCAATATCAGCAGAAATGCTCTTCACACATTGTACCTATATGGGGAATAGAATTCGGGTCTTCGGCGTGACGAGCGAACGCTTTAATGTGGTAAGAACATATTGTCTTTTACGAGAGTGAGGTGTTAAAGAGTATTGCAGTTATATAGCAATGTGCGTGTACGTGTGTGTGCATGCACATGTGTGTGTAAGCGCATGCACGTGTGTGTGTGTGTGTGTGTCCTTGCGAACCAGCGTGCGCGTTTGAGCCTTCATATCGCTACTAGAACTAGCTCTGGTTTTATAGTACGGTCCCACCATGCTACCGTTTGTTTGTTTTGTTTGTTTTTGGACAAGACAATCCAGTGATCAGTATCATAAGCATCGATCTACGCAATTTGAATAGGATGACATGTGTCAGCCAAGCCAGCGAACCTGACCACCCAAACCCGTCAGTCGCCTCTTACGAGGAGCATGGGTTACTGAAGACCAACTCTAACCTGGATCTTCACGGGTCACCGTGATACCATTTTACACGACTCAAACTCTGTATATGGACTTTTAGCCGACTGGTGCTTCGTTTATCCCCGTTTAAGCCAGGGACACAACGAGTGCCATATATTGTATGTGGTATGACCTGGCATCGAACTCCCGAGCTTTCTTCGTACCGGTATAAGGGCGGTGGGGTAACCTAGCGGTTAAAGCGTTCGCTCGTCACGCCGAGGTCCCGGGTTCCATTCCCCACATAGGTACAGTGTGTGAAGCCCATTTCTGGTGTCCCCCGCCGTAATATTGCCGGAATATTGCTAAAAGCGGCCTAAAGCCATACTCACTCACACTCGTCACTGTATTTTTGTCAAATAACCCTTCACAGAAGAAAAGAAGAAAATTCATTTGCACTCAAAACTGGGGTGTCCCTTTTGTTTTCGCTGGCGGCCGACACGCCTGGCCTAGTGGTGTAGGGCGGCCCAGTTGACTGAGTGGGGTTGCATCTGAGTGTGGGTTCGAATCCCGTATTGACCCCATTATGTGTCAAGGTTTATCAACTCCATGCCAACGCTAGTTGTAACTCCACAGTGTAAACGCCTGAGACCTGTATGACTTTTTCCCACATTAAGCCGCCACGTTGTGACATAAATGGAATACTGTTAAAAATGGCGCTAAATCCACCACAGTGACACATGTCTACTATGGGTTCATTCAAAATACGTTCCAAACATATATTTTTTATGATTTCCTTTTCCCGCATGACTATTTTGAGATGAAGCTTGAGACAAAATGGGATATGTTGTCTTTAACACGAGCATCAGTTCCACCACCTATGGGTTGTGACAGACGTCCGCTGATGAAGAACACATGTATTCAACATTATGCCGGAAAAACAGCTGCGTTGAGTTGGGCTTCACGTCACATCGGCATTATTCCAGCCAAAAATGACGAGATCAAGTCTGTATTCATAAACATTTTAAGTACAAAGTCCAAATGAGTTTCATTTTAAAAACATATATATTCATATTATTATTTAAATATAATAATATATTAGATTATTATTCAAAATCAGCAAATGCCATAGCACCTAAATTCAAAATCAAGCAATTCACAGGTCATGATACAGGTCAACTTCTCACGACGCTGGAGCAGTGATGTTGTGGTGCAAACATATGCAGGCCTTAGTGTCGACGATTGATAAATTCAATCTTTGACCAGTGGGATTTCTGTGAGTAAACGAATGAATGTGGTTTTACGCTGCTTTGAGCAATATTCCGTCAACATCACGGCGGAGGACACCAGAAACTCATTGTTGATGAAAAAGAAGTCGCAAACATGTGTTTGTAAACGTTTGTAATAAAAATGAAAACGATACATGAAAAGTGCATACAGAAAAGATTTCAACCTGATGCACGTGCAATGTGTCTGACACATGAGTAAAGACATCGACTATGAAAGGCCAAACCAAATTATTCATTTCATTACGAAATTTACGACGTAAACGAAGATAAATATATGCCATGACTGAATGCTACTGACCTAAATATCGCCATTGGACGTGTGGAAGCATGGGAATCCCAGTCTGCCGTTGAAAGACACCTCAACATCCACCACAGCACCATATCCCTATTATGACATCGATATACCCGCTTCAGTTCGACCCAAGATCGTCCCAGAAGTGGAAGACCAAGAGTGACCACTCTTGCTCACAACCGATTCACCAGGGTGTTTCACCTACGTCACAGTTTTGCTACAACAACGGACACTGTAGGACAGGTGCCTGGTCTTCGAAGAATTTCCGACAAACCATCAGAAATCATCTGAGAGAAGTGGGAATTCGTGCATATCGACCAAATGTTGCACCTGCCCTGACACGACTACATCAACAACGACGTGTCAAATGGTGCAACAAGGTACAGGCATGGAACCTGGGGAACGCATGGAACGCGTTTGGTTCAGTGATGAATCGTGTTTCCTCCTGCAATGACGGGATGGGAGAAAACGTGTCTATCAACGTAAACTCGAGCGTTTGATTTGTTGGAGAAAGCGTCATGGTGTGGGGGATCTTGTCCTACACGGGTATATCAGAGTGGTGGTTCAAGGCAATTTTACAGCAAATCGCTACATCTACCACATCCTGCGACCTCACCTCTTCCCACTTTTCAACCTCCAGAACTCGTGTAACAGGTGCCTATCTCGCCAATGTGAGTAGTGGTACAGAAAGTAGTACATATGTCAGTCGAGACACAGAATCCGGTACATGTGTCAGTCGAGACATAGACTCCGGTACATGTGTCAGTCGAGACACAGACTCCGGTCTGGTACATTTGTCAATCGATACACAGAATCCGGTACATGTGTCAGTCGAGACACAGAATTCCCACTTTTCAACCGCCAGAACTCGTGTAGCAGGTGCCTATCTCGCCAATGTGAGTAGTGGTACAGAAACTAGTACATATGTCAGTCGAGACACAGAATCCGCTACATGTGTCTGTCAAGACACAGAATCCGGTACATGTGTCAGTCGAGACACAGAATCCGGTACATGTGTCAGTCGAGACACAGAATCCGGTACATGTGTCAGTCGAGTCACAGACTCCGGTACATATGTCAGTCGAGACACAGACTCCGGTACATATGTCAATCGTGGCCCTGAACTGAGTCATCACACAGCATATAGTACATCCTTGAACCGTGGCATAGAGCGTGATAAAGGTGACCAGACTTTACCCTATATTTACTGCTGTAACGCAACACTGTGATAATGCAATAAAGGTAACGTTATATCTCTTACAGCACGTTAAGTACACGTGCACAAGCTCGTGTGTATGGTGCAAGTTCTGTCTGTTGATGCCACGGAATCAGACTACTCAGTGCTCATTATGATTCATGGAGGCAGAAATCAACTACTGACATTTGAAAGGTGAGTCACCAAACTGGAAGTAATTTAACTTCCTGGTCTTGAAATCCACTGTCCACAAGAACATGATAAAAAGTGACAACAACGGAAAAGTGTCAGGGTCGGGTGAAAGTTGGTATTCTTGTATCGATTTACACAGTAAGAAAATTTAGGGTATCTTGAAATAAAAAAATTAATACGAAGTATGAGAATTATATAAAGTGATGACGCCAAACATGCTATATAAGAACGTTTATGTCCGTGAAGCTTCACACCAGAAAACACCCTATAGTTTTTACCTGTTTTTAAAGGAATTGAGACCCGTGAAGATCCGGGGTAGAATTGATCATCAGCAATCCATGCTTGCCACAAAAGGCGACTATGCTTGTCGTAAGAGGCGACTAACGGGATCGGGTGGTCAGGCTCGCTGACTTGGTTGACACATGTCATCGGTTCCCAACTGTACAGATCGATGCTCATGCTGTTGATCACTGGATTGTCTGGTCCAGACTCGATTATTTACAGACCGCTGCCATATAGCTGGAATATTGCTGAGTGCGGCATAAACCTAAACTCACTCACTCACTGAAGGAATTGACGTTGAGGTCAAGTTCGAAACCAGACACTAAACGACGAATATAGCACTATCCTCGGGCTACCGGAATGTGAGTTACGATTAGAAATCGTCGTCGGGTAGCACATCTCGATGCTTGACGGCCACATATTGTGTCGCCGATTGCAAATCGCCACCTTGCCAAGAGACGTTAAGGCTCCTTCACACCTATTTCGAATTGACAGGAATCAAGGAGAATCAACCAGAAGATATATTTTTCCAAAATTCGAACCGCATTCGGGAGAGAATGTCAAAATAAACTCTCTTTTTTAAGCTTTGTAAGACTGCCGTTGGAATACTTAGAATGCACTTCGAACCCGCCTCAAATGATTCTTGCTCATTCAGAGTATAATATATTTCGAATGCAGCTCGAATGAATCAGAATACAGTAGGAATATTTAGAATGCCGGAAGAATACACTCAGAATACTTACGAGTACGAGTCCGGTTCGATTGCTGCGTGAATATCATTCGAATTTCAGTTTGAAAGTACCTCAAATGCTGTACGAATGTACATAGAATGCATTCAGAAACCTCTTGGAATGACCCTCCCGAATATGGATATGTGAAAGAATCCATACATAATGCAGCTCGAATATTTCAAATGCCCTTTAAATGCACTTAGAATGTAACACGAATGTCCGAAATGCATCAAGAATGCTGCCGGAATGTTCCACGATGGGGTATAAAAACCTGTTCAATCTGGACTATTCATCAGTCTCTGCCCAACTCCTATACAGTATGGACCCCTTAGACCATGTTGCGTTGCTCCAGATGGCTGTCCTCCAGCAAGCCCTGATTGAAAGAGATGTGGAAGAGACAAGGTGAAGAAACAGGAGAAGACCCAGGAGATTCCAGACCAGACCATGGCTGACAAAGGAAAGGAGGAGGCTGTATGGACATTGCACAAGACTGATTGAGGAGCTCAGAGTTGAGGACACGCAGTCTTTCTTCAGCTACCTAAGGATGGAACCTGCCATGTTTGATGAGTTGGTGCAGAGGATGGGGCCAAGCATACAGAAGCAGGATACCTATACGGATGAGAAAGGCGCTACCTCCAGGCTTGAAGCTAACCATCACATTGACGTTCCTGGCTTCAGGTGATAGGTACCCCAGGATCATGCACAGTTTTCGCTTGACAAGAAACACAATCAGCCTAATCATCCCAGAAGTATGTAAGGCCATTGTGGAGGAATATAAGGATGGCCACTCCAGAAGAATGGGCACCCACTGAAGAGGTCTTCAGAAACAAGTGGAATATTCTGTGTTGTGTCGTTTGTATTAAGCGTGTGGGTCGACATGAGGTCTGTCAGGACGACGACGTCCATATTCACCATACACGAATCGTCATTGCTCATCTTCAGCAGCACAACAATCAACAAACACACTGTGGCTAGAATTGATACCAGACCTGTCCCACACTCACCATATCTGGGACATGACTGAACGTGGGTAGGCGCGGCAAAAGTAAAAACAGACTGCCTCAAACGCAAGTGGGAGACTTGTAGTTTGTCTCGTCAAGTAACTGATCCGGGAAACTCGAGGATAAACATGCTTGCCGCTTCTACAGATTGTAGCTGCTCATATTCATCTCACATCCTTCTACCCAAATGTTCATCTCAGACCCTTCTACTCCTGAATTCGTCTCAAACCCTTCTACCCAAGGGTTCATCTCAGACCCTTCTACTCCTGAATTCGTCTCAAACCTTTCTACCCAAGGGTTCATCTCAGACCCTTCTACTCCTGAATTCGTCTCAAACCTTTCTACCCAAGGGTTCATCTCAGACCCTTCTACTCCTGAATTCGTCTCAAACCTTTCTACCCAAGGGTTCATCTCAGACCCTTCTACTCCTGAGTTCATCTCACATCTTTCATTATGTGAGTGAGTGAGTTTTACGCCGGTTTTAGCAATATTCCACGGCGGGGGACACCAGAAATGGGCTTCACACATTGTATCCATGTGGGGAATCGAACCGGGGTAACGAGAACACGCTTACACACGAGGCTACCCAATCATCCTAAGTCTGGACATTCCACTGACAACAGCATGAACACCGATTTACGAACTTGGGTTAACTCTAATTATACAATAAACCCCTTCTGGAAACTGCAATTCGTTGTCATCGTTTGCGGTTCAAGTCCGGCCACCACAATACCTGATAATTGTTACCAGGATTGTAGGATTGTGCAATCATTGACATCTGCTAGAAATACCTTTTCTCTTTGTGTTTAGGTGAATGAGTATCTCCCGAAAAGCATTCAAAAACCCACGTGCAAGGAACGCAAGTCTGCATAGAAACATTCAATTTTTTACACTTTGGTATTAATCTCTCTCTCTCTCTCTCTCTCTCTCTCTCTCTCTCTCTCTCTCTCTCTCTCTCTCTCTCTCTCTCTCTCTCTCTCTGCTACTTTGCTTTCATTCATAACCCAACCAGTTGAAGGGAGCTAACTCCAGACCAGTGACTTGCTTGACAGTATCTTTAGAAGTGTCATAAAATACTTCTATAGCGCCATATCCTCTTCTGTCTTTAATCTTCTTTCGATTTCTGTTGTGGTTGAGGTGTTTTCGTTTTGGTTCGTGTTTTGATGTTGCTGTTGTAGTTTTTGTGCTGACTTTGAAACCCGCACCACTCTGCTATTGCTGACGGTATCTTTTTCTAGTGTTCGAATCTCACCTTGCCACATGTCCCGATACAACCACTTCATTTCATGACCTCATGTTTGCCTCTTGAACGGAGAGAACCCGTGAAGTTCTTATCGTGAAAGGCGACGAACTAGATCGTGAGGTGTGATAACATTCCACTTCAACAATGTAGGTCGATTCTAACACCACGACTCACTGGTTTGCCTGGTCCAATTTCTGTCCACTTCTGTTGGTTGCCGTCTTGTATAGCTAAATTTACTGTTTTCAATCTCATAAATACTTAATATCGTCAATGAAACCCCAAATTCCTGACAATCATTGCTTGGCATGACTGGGTGCAGGCAACTACGCTTATAACCAACTTAAAGGGACTACTAATTATAGTTCGTCCAATTCCAACCTATTTGTTGATTTTTACTAGTGATGAAAGCTTGGAATTGACATTTCTTAACAATTTTGAGGTTTTTGGAGGCCATCTTGGATTTAGCCTCGTTCTGAGCCTGATCTACCAAACTGAGATGTCCATTACACATTTTTATATAGAGAGACATAAAGGAGTTGTATCAATATGGTATAAATTGTCGGCTCCTTGCTCATGGCCTAAATATATAATTCGTTAGAGCCGTCAGTCCGTTATAAGATTGTTCGTTAGAAAAGTAGTTCACTCTATGTAGAAATGAACATGTTTGTTTAACAACCACAATCAGGTAATCAATAACAAATATAGAATCACATGAGAACTGGGGCGGTGGGGTAGCCTACTGGTTTAAGTGTTCGATCGTCACGCCGAAGACCCGAGTTCGATTTCAGGCATGGGTAGTATGTGTGAAGCCCACTTCTAGTGTCCCCGCTGTGCTATTGCTTGAATATTGTTAAACCTTACTCGCTCACTCATTCACTCCCAATTACGTAGATCGATGCTCATGCTGTTGATCACTGGATTGTCTGGCCCAGCTTTGATTATTTACGGACCGCTGCCATATATCTGGAATACTGTTGAGTGCGGCGTAAAACTAAATTCACTCACTCACTCATTCCGGTGGTTGATCCCTGGATTGTCTAGTCCCGACTCGATTATTTACGGACTGCCGCCATAAAGTTCGAATACTGCTGGGTGCGGCGTAAAATTGAACTCGCTCACTCATTCTAGTGGTTGATATTGTGAGCAAGAAGCCACGCCGTCGGGGTAAGTTGACACGCCATCAACAAACTCGCAGAGCCTCACCACCCAATCTTATGACATACACAGAGTACGACAGACCAGGTATAACCATGAATCCCCTCACGGTCTGGTGAATAACAAAACAACAAAATTGTGATTTGTCCTGTTTCAGTCGACATGTCCTTTCAGTTGTGACAATGCAAATAATTCAAATTATATTTATTCCGTACAAATATAGATAACTTTGTATCCTCTGGGCAGTTTGCATTAGAGTCAGAAATTTACTCTCTTGGAACATACTCTCGACTTTACATTTGACATGGGCAGTCTCGTTGTGAAATTTTATTCATTTTAACCCATTCGTACGGAAGCAGAAACATCATCATTACTTTCCCATCAATGCATATCAACACAATATTATGTACAGCTGTTCATGAGTGCAATTTCAGTGTCTTTCAATAGGCAGTGTCAAAGCTACTATTATGATAAACCCAACTCATTCACTCACTCACTCACTCCATCATTGCAACACATCCAGGAGTACCGTGTTAGGCATTCACATAATGATTACACTGGTTGAAAATCAGCGTCTTTCTGAGCGTCGAGGTAAACCAGGGCACCTGCTTCCTGTTATTGTCGAATGTCTGATCGGACACCTCGTTACACACATCAGTGAGAATGTCCACAAGGCTTCTGTTAGCCGAGACATCGAGCTGCTTCACCAGAGAGTTGACGAAGTAGGAGCCAGTGCTCGTGTGACGGAATGATTCATATCCAGGCTCCGTAGAACATGCGATGAGGAAGTCCGACCCATCTGGCAGAACCTTCGTGAACTCCTCGTCCAGTATGACGTCAGACTGGACAACCCCCCGCTGGGGTCTCTCGCCCTGACACGCCTGGATGAAGAACAGCTTTGGTTTGCCGGCCAAAGAAGGACAACCTCTGTTTCTGAAGGTGGATGTGATTTCCAGAATCGGAACCTCTGAGTTGTTTACTCCAAGTACGGAACCATTCTTGCCATGAGACAAAATACAACAGATGAAAATATCATAGTCTGAATGGTCTTTTAGAGATATCTTCTTTGTCTCCTTAATGATATCACAGTCACTGAGATCCACATACATCTTAACCTCCATAGCGAAGCTCTGGAACAATTTCTTCAGGTTTTTAGCATCAATATCAGACCCCATCCTGTAGGGTAAATAATCATTCCCGTTGGCATCCTCAAATGTTTTGTTGTTGATAATCACACACAGTCCTCTGGGTCTGGCGTCCATCCTGTACAACCGATCCCTGTCCGCAAGATCCCCAAGGACAACGTGCTTCCGGACCAGGGCTGGGATAGAGAAGCACAGCTTTCTGAGGGTGTTCACGTGAAGGATCTCCTTCCTACCGTTGGTGACTGTCAGGACTTTCATCCCGCTGTCTCGCTGCCTCTTCTCGGGGAAAACCATGATGCTCACGTGACACCTCCCGTCCGATTCGTGGACACCGAGCTGTTTGAAGGACTTGATGCCGATGAATTTCATTTTGAAGGAATGGTTCCTGATGTTGACTCCGGATACCTCAATGGTCTCGATGTTCTGGGGGTTGCACGAGTTGTCATTTTTAAAGTTGTTGGAGACCAGGTATCGGAGAAGATCAGTTTCTGTGTAGACATGGATGAGCTTGTCCTCCATTGATATCGGTCAGGGAGGTTATGTTTTCGAGTGTTTGTGCACACGCTCCACTGGGGCTTGTCATTCCAGATCCGGGCCTGAAACAAGAATTGAATAAATACTATCAGCAGAGGGCTAAACTTGATTGTGTGTTCGAATCCTAGTTTGTCAGCGACATATATTCACGAGTTTCAGGAGATGTGGACCTAGACTAACGCTAAGTCCCTGAATATATATGATATTGATAGTAACAAATAAACCCATTTAAATATTGAAAAGGAGCCCTCGTGAGCTGGGAGATTCAGAATTCCTGAACCTGGGGACATCTAGACATGCTTTATTAGGACTTTAGCATTGCAGGGAGGGCTGGGTGGAAGGGGAGATAATCTGGTTCAGGACTGGGAGACTGATCAATGGGGACGATCCGCGCAACGTTACCGTCACATTTAACTGACACGGGGTTATATACTACTCACGCTTTGCTAAGGATCACAAAAATTCTTTACTTAAACGTAGATTTATAATTTGAAACTGTATCCATTTAAAACTGGATAAATAATAATATGGTAACACCTCTTTAGGAAAACAGCCACTTTAATCTAACCTTATGCACCTGATTCATGAGTAACCATAAAAATGGTTTTCAAGGCACCAATCAACCATTTTCCAAATCATGGAACGAGTCATTCACAAATAAACAACACATATCAATAGCAGGTATGGGATCCAAAAGATACTGAAACCAGGGATCCATGCTTACAATAAGCTTCGATATTTAAACCAAATTTGACCCCACATAATAGTTCTCTGTTGAATCTATGATTTGATCCTTAGCAAAGTGTGAATAGTATATAACGTAAATGAATGCACTGGCAAGGTTAGTCCTGCAGGCGAAGAAACTCGACACTTAGCTCAGCTTAACAAAGAGATGACATAAGGAAATATTACATGGTGTTGAGCATGGCATATTATATATGTCAATGTTTAGAAACTAGGACAAATCCACATAATGAAACAAAAACTGAAAATCACACACAACTGCCTTGTCCGGGTGGACATCACCAGACATTCTTATTTAAGTAATCGGCAGGTAGTTACAGAGTGGTGTCTGAAAAAGCAATCAGAAAATGGTTGTGATCCTCGTGTATCGAGCGGGGAATGGGATCGGCAAGTTGAAGTGGGTGACCGCGTAAGGCGTGTAAGGGTTGGCGCCACGGAGGTGAAGGGCAAGGGTGAAAGTAGACGAATGTTGACTGTGATCGACCTGCTAAGGAGTGACTAGGTGATTGGGCTGGGTGTACCGCCCTGTTATCGGCGTGTTTACATTAGGCGAATTGTGTTGGACATGTTTAAGAACCACTTGCGAACGAAAGGCCGAGTTTTGAATGGAAAAGGAGATATTCGTTTTGTGGAAAATGTTTTTAAGAAATATAAAAAATATATTAATTTTCAACATAGTGATACCTTTGTGCAAAGTGTCATATTCTCTAATACCGTTGTGAATGGATTATGTCAGTCTGTTTCAACTTTATTGTATTTTTAACGGTGAAATATTCGTTCTAGTTAACATAACTGTATGTTGTAAAGTGTTTGGATAGGGAATGAAAATGTATTGTGCGAATACACTTTTCAACCATATGTGAATTGTCGTGTGCAGTTTGTAACTGTTCTTGCTCAAACAATCTTTATAAATCATTGTTGATCATTTCATCATTGTTCATATAATAATCTATAATACCTTCAAATGATTATAAACGTTGGAGTAACCAAGGTCTTGTTTTAATGTGAGGGTTGGTTATGCACAGTGGCACTCTCGCATAGCGAATTAAAATCTAACTTTGGTTTAATAGCAAATACATACATGATTATTAGACATGACATAGACACGGTGTTCACAAAGCTATAAAACCTCACGACTCAGGTAGTTTCAAAAGTCATGTTAGGAATACCCATCCAGCCATTTTAAACAAACACATAGGGGCATACCTAATCCAGAGGTGAGGTGAAATTGGGTTTAACGTCGTGCTTGAGAATATTTCGCTCATATGGCGACGTGCATGCGTGTGTATGTGTATGTGCGGCTGCTTGTACTAGCCCAGACTAAAGCTGGTTTTATAGTGCTAGCCCACTGAGATACTATGCCGCAGTGAAGCATGAATACCCCACTCAGACACATTATACTGACTCCGAGCCGACCAGTCCTTGTTGTACCCATTAATGCCGAGCGCCATGCAGGGACCAACAAGTACCATATTTTAACGTCTTTTGGTATGACGCGGTCGGGGATCGAACCCGCGACCTTCCGCTCTCCGGGCGGACGCTCTAACCACTACACCACGGAGGCGGTCCTAATCTAATCCTTATAAATCGATAACTTATTTAGAAACTAATACAAATTAAATATAATATAACATAAAATTCAAGTACTTATGCATTGTAAAACACACCATCATTTACCAGAACGGGCTGTGCTCCCTACAGACATCTACACAGACATGTATTCAGGGTCCGAAACATGAAAATCTTCCACCTCTCGCTGAAGTGATACTTATAGCCATGCCATGGCGGAAGTAGAATGTACGTTGCGTGAAGTCCAGGAATAGCCTGGGGTCGTTGTGATATACGGAAGGGTAGCCTGGGCTCCGCTCTGCTGGTTATGAATGACAGAGAGAAGGGAGATATGTCGACGTGGGGGTGGGGGGATGTCCCACAGGCCAACCGCCCACGCCTCTGCTGAATGGGTTGATCTGACCCACCAGCCATAGTCTTGTAAACCAATACACCATCTCCATGATACATGCCAACCGTGATCGTGATAAGCTTCGACCAGAGAACATGTACAAATTCCTGGAGATCATGTACAGATTCCAGGAGAACACGTATAGATTCTGTGGTTATAAAGGGGGCTTGATTCCTTGGAGTATTTTCCACTATGCTGGATAACCCCGCCTATATGGAATTTGAGATTTAGATGATTTTTTCTCATTTACAAGTGGCTCCACGAACGAAAGGGACCGGTAATTTATTATAGGGCTGGGGTCGAGGGGTCGGGAGGAATAAGGTCCATATTATATTTTGAAATTTTAAAAAATTCATGGAAATGGGAACATTAGTGCATTAATGAACATCAGAACATTAATGCATAAGAAACTATGAAAACCCTGAGCCACCAATTACATGAACTTTTAGTTTTAGTCATGTACTTGAGAATTTTCATAGCGCAAAGTTCCAGTTGCCGGAGATACACGGAAAATACCGAGGAGGCTAGTGGTATCTGATGAATAGCCTTGAAAACGTCACAATAAGCCGGAAATCGTGATTTAGCATTCTCGTCATTCATGCCGATTGCGGCCTACAGATTAAATGGCCCGAGATTCGTCTGACCTCATTAAACACCACGCTGTTCATCTGTATCACGCCTCCACAAATATGAAAATTTGGACCGTTTTTTTTGTGTTGCGTATAATTGTAAACGAACACCTGAATAGTGTATTGGGACAGAGCTGCTTAGAACGCTAGAAATATACGCAGTACTAAAAGGTTTTATTTAAACTTTAAAAATTAAAAATTATCATATTTGACAAGAAATACTCAAGCCAGATTTTGATGGCATTTGCACCTTAACAGAAGACAATAATGGGTTATATATTCGATACAGGTGCTTCTTGATTTTATAACAAATTATACATTCATGATTATCAATTCTAATGTGAAGCTCACGTCTTTGTGAATAATATTCTATACTGGACAAACTTAAGTACCAGCTGATGCAGTAATGTGAAGCACAGGGCCATGTAACTAATATTCTATCATAACAAATTAAATTACCACTTGTTGCAGTAAAAACAAACAGAGGGTCATGCAACTAATATTCTAAACTAACAAACGTAATTATCAATTGCAGGAATAGATTATAACAAAGGGTCATGTAACTAATATACTATATTAACCAACTTAATTATCATTTGTTGCAGTAAATACAAGCACAGGGCCATGCAACTAATATTCTAAACTAACAAACTTAATTATCAATTGCAGGAATAAATTATAACAAAGGGTCATGTAACTAATATACTATATTAACCAACTTAATTATCATTTGTTGCAGTAAATACAAGCACAGGGCCATGCAACTAATATTCTAAACTAACAAACTTAATTATCAATTGCAGGAATAAATTATAACAAAGCGTCATGTAACTAATATTTTGTGCTAACAAACTCAGTTATCAGTTGTTGTTGTTGTTGCAGTAATTCAAAGCGCTAGTCCGCTTTGTTGGTACTGAGTACTAGTTATATTGTCCTTGAATATGTCGCCTGGTAGCAAGTAAAAGGCAGTGTGAATATAGGGAATATAGTTGGAGCACGTCTTTAAGAAGATCCCTGGTATACATAGGTTATATAATTGCTACAGGTCAACTAGTTTGCCGAGTGTGTCAGTTCGATTCAACTTGTACGTTATGAATCTTAATATTAAACTGCAGCATATTGCACACTGCATATAACTTTGTAAAAACATATAGATTGAATAACAACCTGGACTTACCTGTAGTTAGAGGGTGTACCTGAGATTTCCACCTGGCTGCGTTCTGTTCATCCAGTGACTCAGGTGTAATAGGAAACTAGAGATTCACGCTGTAGAGATTTATCGCCAGTTTCATAATGTAAATATCTCATTCACATTGCCTCGTTCATGGCCGGATGTAGCTACCTCGCTATGCCCCTGTTGCCATGCTTACCATTCACCCTGGGTCAGGAGACGCACGCTCTGGGGGATTGGCCGGGCGGGGGATGGGCCAAGGAGGACTGTGTCACCGCTAAAACTGCTGGAGTACAATTGCGTGGATTTGAAAGTAGCAGTGTAACTGTCAGAGGGGCAACATGTGTGCCAAGTTGCAAGTGCTTTTGTGTAAATTGTGACGCGACCCCTGACCAATATATGACAGTAATGGGGAAGATTGTATTTTTAAGAATGAATGAATCGGTTAAGGATATATGCACATGTGTTGCTGTAGGCAATATGAAAAGAATGTGTATTCTGGAATCCCGTTTCCCGACACACTGAAGACGCTATATGTGAACTGTGCAATTTCGTTTCTTCACACGAAAAGTTCTCCATTTGAGCGAGTGAATGAGTGAGTGAGTTGAGTTTTACGCCGCACTCAGCAATATTCCAGGTATATGGCAGCGGTCTGTAAATAATCGAGGCTGAGCCAGACAATCCAGTGATCAACAGCATGAGCATCGTTCTACGCAATTGGGAGTGAATGAGTGAGCGAGTAAGGTTTAACAATATTCAAGCAATAGCACAACTGGGACACTAGAAGTGGGCTTCACACATACTACCAATGCCTGAAATCGAACTCGGGTCTTCGGCGTGACGATCGAACACTTTAACCACTAGGCTACCCCACCGCCCCAGTTCTCATGTGATTCTATATTTGTTATGGATTACCTCATTGTGGTTGTTAAACAAACATGTTCATTTCTACATAGAGTGAACTACTTTTCTAACAAACAATCTTATAACGGCCTGACGGCTCTAACGAATTATATATTTAGGCCATGAGCAAGGAGCCGACTATTTATACCATATTAATACCACTCAGAGGGACCAATCGTTTGAGGGTTTTTTATATTCCTTTATGTTTCTCTATATAAAAAAGTATAATGGACATTTCAGATTGGAAGCTCAGACTCAGAACGAGGCTAAATCCGAGATGGCCTCCAGAAACCCCAACATTTTAAAGAAATGTCAATTCCAAGCTTTCACCATGATTAAAGTTCAACAAATAGGTTGGAATTGGTCTCTGCCATTTGTCTGCACGTTTTAGACGAAACGCATACATATCGAACTACGGTTATAACGAACTATAATTAGTAGTCCTTTTAAGTTGGTTATAACGAACTATAATAAGTAGTCCCTTTAAGTTGGTTATAACGAACTATAATTAGTAGTCCCTTTAAGTTGGTTATAAACGCAGTTGCCTGCACCCAGTCATGCCAAGCAATGATTGTCAGGAATTTGGGGTTTCATTGACGATATTAAGTATTTATAAGATTAAAAACAGTAAATTTAGCTATACAAGACGTCAACCAACAGAAGTGGACAGAAATTGGACCAGGCAAACCAGTGAGTCGTGGTGTTAGAATCGACCTACATTGTTGAAGTGGAATGTTATCACACCTCACGCATGCTCAGAGACCTTAACATAACTTATATCATAGCCTCTGGTAAGAGACACGTGAAGATCAGGGTTAGAATTGATCTTCAGTAACCATGCTTGTCGTAAGAGGGATTGGGCGGTCAGGCTCGCTGACTTGGTTGACACATGTCATCGTACCCCAATTGCGTTGATTGATGCTCATGCTGTAGATCACTGAATTGCTGAAGACCAATTGTAACAAAGTATAACAAAACTATTATCATTCATTCATGCTCCGTTCAAGAGTGAGTGTGTGAATTTAGTTTTACGCCTTACTCCAGTGATCACCCACTAGAATGAATGAGTGTTTGGGGCTTGCTTATTAACAAGCCGCTGTAACACTACTGGCATATTGTTGAGTATGTCTTTAAACAATAAACACTCATAATGCACTTCATGATTAAATGAAAATATTACACCCTGTGTCTTTTCGTGAAGAATTAGTGCAGCTGCTCTTAAGCTGTTTGATCAGGGTTACAATATCCAAGGCCTCAGTAAAAAGTACAAAATATTTCAAAATAGATATTCACTGTGACACGTGTGTTAGTCAGAGGAGATTGACAATTTTGACCCTAGCCGGGTTTGTGTTTCTATTGCTTAGCTGGTTATCTCCCAGTGGAACAGTCCTGAAGCACAAGTGTTGACATGCGAATTCAGCGTTATCGATAATCGCCCACTCTCTCGCTGCACATCACAGAGTTGACTGAAGTTAAGCATTTTTTTTTTTTTATTTTTTTTTTTTTTTTTTTTTCATTATTATTATTTTTATTTTATTTTTATTTATTTTTTTAAATTTTAGGGTGGGGGTGTCTAAAAATGTAGTTTACTAAATGATCAACCGTACTGCTGCTTAGTGACTGAGTGTTTTTCAACAAATCAAATTGTAGACGACAAGATTGGAAATTCATGGATGGATTTCCTGGCTCATAGTATCAATGGTTCAACTTGTGACAACAGTTCTCCGAAACAATGCGACTATAACGGAAATGGTATTTGGTGTCAAAAACGATTTCTTGGTCCAGATTCCTGTAGTGTTCGAAAGCTACGTGTCCACGAAATACTGGGCGAATGTACATGTATAAATAACTCTTGTGAACACCTGTTCTTCTCTTCTCAGCACTCGGGGCGGTGGGGTAGCCTAGTGGTTAAAACGTTCGCTCGTCACGCCGAAAACCCGGGTTGGATTCACCACATGGGTACAATGTGTGAACCCATTTCTTGTGTCCCCCACCGTGATATTGTTGGAATATTGCTAAAGACGGCGTAAATATAAACTCACTCGCGCACTCGGATCTGTTCCTCAAAGCTTCATAACATTCATGGGGCCTTATAGCCAGCACTATGCGCCTCTATTCGGTGTCATTATCAGTCAACAAGGGAAGTTTAGATAGATTTGTCTACTCAGAGCACATTGACTTCAGGCTACCGTTGTCGCTGCAAGTACAAACCACTGTCTAGTGACCGGGATGTCCGATACAGGTCCCTATTCGGACTATATGTTCTCCTCATTTTTTCCGGGGGAAGGCGGGGTGGGTGTGAATAATTGACTTACCTCTGCATGGTTTTGTGACGGATGCCATAAGTACAGTAGGATACACTCGCCGTTTCGAGAACACCACGACTCCTTCATGGTGATTCATAAATACATGCTTATATAACTCCTACCCGTGAAGGTCCGTATTAGAATTCATATTCAGTAACCCATGCTTGTCGTAAGAGGCGACTAACATCGTATCGATCCCAGTTGTGTAGATCGATGTTCATGCTGTCGATCCCTGGATTGTCTGGTCCAGACTCGATTATTTACAGACCGCCGCCAAATAGCTGGAATATTGCTGAGTGCGGCGTAAAGCTAAACTAACTCACTCACTTATAACTCCTTGAAGTGGCACCTCTGCTTTTATACATGGACATGGCTTCATGTAGACTAACGCTTAGTCTCTGAATATATATAATTTTGATAGTAACAAACAAACCCATATAAACAGAAATGGAGCCCCAGTAGGGAGACCAGAGATTTAGATCCTGAACCTGAGGAAATCTAGACTTGCTTTATTTAGGGCTTTAGCATTGCAGAGAGGGTTTGGCAGCAGGGGAAATAATGTGGTTCAGGGACTGTGAGACAGACTAGGCTTCATGCAGTGGTTGCATATAAATTAGACTATTAGTAAGTTATGTTGAATAACTTAAGCACTGAAAAGTTATTGTATATTGTATATTCAAGAGAGAGAGCGTGTGTGTGTTTGTGTGTGTGTGTGTGTATGGGGGGGGTGCTTGTGCGTGCGTGCGCGTGCATGTGAGCGTGTGTGCGTGTGTTCGCGCGCGTGCATGTGAGCGTGTGTTCGCGCGCGTGTGTGTGTGTGTGTCTGGGCGCGCGTGCGTGTGCATGCATGTCTATGTATGTGTGCGTGCGTCAATCCAGTGATCAGGATACGATGACAAGCATTCCACCACGTCACCAAGCCTACCCGTTTAGTTACGTCACCGCTTACGACCAGCATCGACTGCTCATAAATATTTAAGCAAAAGAGTGTAGGTAAAGATCCAGCTGACTGATCCATTAGATGGATATCAGCTGCACCAACAAAAGCTTGTAATCCGTAGAATAACCACGCTGTCAGCAAATCCGCCAACACAGACCACTAGGTCACGCTGGTAACATTATCCGTGTTATGTTTGACCTGCATGGATATGCATTGCGAGATAGGACAAGTTGACAATGAATGCCTTTCAATTCAAGTGACCTTATTATGTGGCACGGCGTGTTTATATCGCCGCGAACATTTTCCACATCACTGAAACTCGCAGGCATGTGGAGCTGAAACTTAACAAATATGACCACAGGTGTCATTCGTGACCAACTCGTGTTATTCCGGGACAAGCCGAATAGCTTGCAGGTTATGACTGCTGACTGACTGAGTTTAGTTTTAAGCCGCTTTTAGCAATATTCCAGCAATATCACGGAGGGGGACACCAGAAATAGGCTTAACACATTGTGCCCATGTGGGGAATCGAACCCGGGTCTTCGCCGTGACGAGCCAACGCTTTAACCACTAGGCTACCCCACCGCCCCTTGCAGGTTATGGAAAGGGGCGAGTGGTGACGAATGCACAGGTGCCTCTGACACTGCTTAGAGTATTCAGGCTGGAGTAAACATATTGAAAATGGTATTTTTTGTCATTTCTCAAACAGTTCCGCACACCATGAAGTTTGATTAATAAATTCCAGATAATGTAGTGTTTTACGCTGTTTTACGCTGCTTTTATCACTATTCAAGCAATATCAGAGCGGGGAACACCAGAAACGGGATTAACACATTGTACCCATGTGGGGAATCGAACCCGGGTCTTCGGCATAACGAGTGAACGCTTGAACCCCACCGCCCCTTGTCATGTGAAAAATCTGTCCATGTGAGCTGCCAGTAGTTGCAATCGTTTTCATAGTTAAGGGGTTTGAAGAGACTTGTAACAGCGACCTAGGTTAGGGCATGTGATGTCATGATTTCAAATGACAGTGTGAAGTAGATACTCCTATGTAGATACATTTTCCCAAAAGGTAGGGCATCCTGAAAAAAAAAAAACCTGTTACGATCAGTCGTCAGAAGAAAAACGTCAGCCTTGAAATATGACCGCTGACTTGCTTGATGCATGAGGTGGAGTAGATCAATGCTCATGATATCAGTTACATGAATGCCTGGTTCAGACTTGATTTGAGACCGCTGTAATGAGGTGTGGTGTTAAAGGCACAATGCCACACATTTTCGACAATATTTCGGCCTATATTATATATCGGGGCATATGCACTTCCCATTGATGCAATTAAAGATTTATTATCCCTGACGACAATTGATCAATAACGGAAACCTCAAGGAAAACAGCTTCCAAACAGAGAACACTTGCCCTGTACGGAATGTAAACAATTGCTCTGAACATGGAAAACTGTCGCACGCGGTGTCGTCAGTGTTTGCTGAATTGGTTTCAATCACAAGTTGTGCGTGTGATATTCGTAAAGAGCGCTCCAAGGCACATAACTATTGAGTTCACCTGAAAAAAATGTTCGGCCAGTAGTGGGCGCTAGAGTCCATTTAATGCAACATTGCATTAATTCATTCAAACTTTTTAATTGAATATTGTCATCTAAATACGTAATTTGTTTTTGAAAAAGTACAGGGTAGCTTCACTGAGGGCTGATAGTTAGTATTATTGAGAGAAATGCATTATTATTTATAAGAGAAGTGTGGTGTGATATAGTACCTTTAAACAATAAACAAACACAATTGTTTAAGCAAGAATGTCAGGGTCAACGGAGAGTAGCTGACAACGCGAGTAATGTTAATCAAAATGAGTAATGTTAATCAAAATGAGTAATGTTAATCAAAATGAGTAATGTTAATCAAAATGAGTAATGTTAATCAAAATGAGTAATGTTAATCAAAATGAGGAAGCAAAACATGTTCAGCCAGATGGCTCTACTTCCTTATTGCATGAGATTTCCCAACAGGGTAGGTGTCCTTCAGAGAAATAAAAATTATGGTACAAAAACTGCTGTCATCTGACATCACCTCAGCTTTTGGGCACATTGATGGCCTCAGGAAGGTTTTTAAACAAACCTTCCACATGGCACTTCGACCCTTCCACTGAAACTTGCTGCACAGTGACATTCATTATCAATATTTCCTGCATTAAGTGAGAGGGAGTGCCTTTCTGTGTCAACATGTCCGCTTCAGTTTGGAGAATTACAAATACAAAAAGTATGGGGGCGGTGAGGTACAATGTGTGAAGCCCATTTCTGGTATCCATCACCATGATATTGCTGGAATATTGCTAAAAGCAGTGTAAAACCATACTCTCTCACTCACTACAAAAAGTATGATTAAGACTAATAATGATTTAATCATTACTGAAAAGTAATAATGCTAAACTCATACCAATGACACATGCAAAATGACATTTTGGGGCGGATTCAGTATTTTGGAGAAGGGGGTGCACATAAATCATGAAGTCCAAAAGTTAGGGGGAATTGCTCCTCACGAAAATTCAGTTCACACATGCAAGCACTCACACACGCACACACACACACTTTATTCTTGCTCATCCATGAAGACAGCACTCAAGGCTCTTTCAAGACATTCCACAATGACATTTGTGAATGCATGGCCACGTTACTGGGCCTGCCATCTGGCTGCAGCCAATTCTTTGAGCAATCGTTTGTTATTTTTAACCTAAAGTGTGTGTTCCATATAATTTGTTAATTACTCATTGACCTAGTGTGGTCATCTATTAATTTGATCTGAGGTGAGGTGAAATTGGGTTTAACGTCGTGCTTGAGAATATTTCGCTCATATGACGACGTGCATGCGTGTGTATGTGCGGCTGCTTGTACTAGCCCAGACTTAACCTGGTTTTATAGCTCTAGCCCACCGAGATACCATGCTGCAGTGAAGCATGAATACCCCACTCAGACACATTATACTGACTCCGAGCCGACCAGTCCTTGTTGTACACATTAATGCCGAGCACCATGCAGGGACCAACAAGTACCATATTTTAACGTCTTTTGGTATGACGCGGTCGGGGATCGAACCCGCGACCTTCCGCTCTCCGGGCGGACGCTCAAGATTTGATCTGAACAATGCTTTGAATGGATGTCTGTAATGTTACACTGCATCAGCCTGGATGAAATCATATACCAGCATGCACTGTGAACACTGTTTCAGTAAGACGTCAAAATGTCTTCTTCAATGGCTTCATATATAGTCACAGCTTTCTGGGTCAGTGGTTTAGAGGTTTTTCAGGGGCTGAACAGTCTCAATGGGGCCAGAGTGAGCATTGGTTGACTTTGTATCATACATGAAGAGAGAAAATGAGTACAGTACCATATAAGTTCATACTCATGGTGTCACAACATGTCATTGGTTCCCAATTGCGAAGATCGATGCTCATGCTGTTGATCACCGGATTGTCTGGTCCAGACTCGATTATTTACAGACCGCCACCATATAGCTGGAATATTGCTGAGTGTGGCGTAAAACTAACCTCACTCACTCATGGTGTCACAGATCAAACTGCTTGCTGTTCAAAGTCCAACACCAGAAAACAACAACAAGAGTTGAATGTCAATTCAGTATTTATTTCTAATCCACCCATAACACATATATACAAAGTCCAGGTTCGCAGCTTCTGGAGATTGTCCAGGTCATCTCCTCCAGCCAAACCCCGTCCACTCTGTCCAGAATCACCACAGAATGAACACATTAGTCTGTCCTCAGAATGTTGCATGTCACACCTTTCAGTGTCACCGCTTACGAAGAACCCTCTTGGTGCTGGACCATTCCTGATCTATCTTCTGCTTCCTGAGGAACACCTCCTTCATCAACGTTCGTGACTCCACCTCGTTAATGCTCTCCCTGTAGTGTTTCATCAGGTCATATTTCTCCCATGGTTTCGCTACTGCTGCCGCCTTCCGTTGCCTCTTCTCAGACACATGGAACTCCTCCACCCCCATCAAGTCCATCCTCTCCCACCTCTCATGCCACGGAGGGGGATTCAGCTTCACCTACAAAACAGACAAACCATCAGTTCCTCACAAACGGACACACATTCTCTCCCTCCTCTCCCTGCAGGGGTAGGTTTGTCTCAGCTTCACCAGCAACACAAGGTAACAGAAAGGGATCACACGTCAAGATCCTTCCACTCTTCAGCGGATTATCTCAAAGTATGGCTACCTCACTTGTTTTCTTTAAATTAGAGTAAGTTGGAGAAAAATGTTTCTTGGAAATACACTTGTACACATTCCTAAGAGAAGATTTTGTCTTACCAGGTGATAGTGATGGCCAAAACAGTCATTTAATCTTGTAAAGAGTATTTCCAAGTTTACTTGGAACTTGTTCTGTCACATAATGTCAACCGTCCCTAAAAGGGAGAGAGTGAGTATGATGTTACGCTGCTTTTAGAAATATTCCAGCAAAACATCACAGCGGGGGACACCAGAAATGGGCTTCACACATTGTACCCATGTGGAAAATGGAACCTGGACCTTCGGCGTGACGAGCGAACACTTTAACCACTAGGCTACTCCACAGCTCCTCCCTAAAAGGGACGTGGATAGTGCTACTATTGGGCAGAGTTGATGATAATAAGGCAGGGGTGTGGCCTACGAGGGGGGGTGGCCTTAGGATAGAGTGCTTAGTCTAACCTTCATTGTGTTGATAGGCATGGAGCTGCCCTTAGACAGGGCATGGCCTACAAAGGGGTGTGGCCTTAGTAAGATGTTGTGTCTAAATTGACCATAATTATGTTGATGGCGACTGAACTACTGGAAGACAGGGGTGTGGCCTTAGTGGGATGTTGTACTTAGTCTGACCTTCATTGTGTTGACTGACACAGAGCTGCCTTTAGGAAGGGGTGTGGCCTCCATGTCCATGGGGAAGGTGGAGTACTCGGGGGGACAGTCACGCAGGTACATGAGATCTTCGTCGAGGCGTTTCTCCAGCCTCAGGACCTCCATCTTCTGCACTACAGGGTTGTACATCTCATACATGATCTCCACACCTGCCAACACATAAGGTTCCATTTACACAATAAGAACCGAGCAAGATAAACCAGTGGTTGATAGTATCACAACATCGTACACCTCATGGGTTCTGATAACATCCAGTAACGCTTCAACACTGAAGGTACAAAAAGATTGTGCAACAAACCAGGGCCCTCGTTCCTCAAAGCGATCGTAGCTACAATCAGTAAGCCCTATGATCAACTTTACAATTATCGTAAATAACAATTTATTGTTGTTCCTCAAAGCTATTGTAAGGGAATTGTAAGTCTTGTGATTGTAAATCTTTCGATCGTAAATTACAATCGTGATCTTCTGCACGAAAGTTAGAAATAATGCGTTTACATTACATCTGGTTGGCGAGAGTTGCTTCCCCTTTCCAAGCTCAGAGAAAAATCCACCCTTAGCAAGATATCGCAAAGTAATTAAAAGCTTGCTTTCTACAGATAGTGCATGTAAACGCTGGGTGTCCTAGAACAACCCAGGTTCTAGCAAGCTTCCCAGTTTCAGAATGGAGCCCCCCGTCATTCTGTACCTTGAAAATATTTCAGCATCATTGTAAACTTCCAGAACACGACTATGGTCTTGAAATATCCTATCGGGGCCAAATTTCTGTCTCCTTTGTTTATGAATTACAACAAACACTGCCATCTTGTTCATACACAACAATCGATCGTAAGTAACTTACAGACTTAAGCAACTTACGGAAGTGGTTGCAACTTACAACTATTGTCACTTACAATTGCTTTGAGGAAAAAGTTAAAGTTACAATTGGATTGTAGTAATTTACAACTATCGTAGTGTTACAATCACTTTGAGGAACGGGGCCCAGAGCATGGACATTGTTAACAATGGTAGAATATATCAACGTCAATTAAATGTTGAAAACTTCTTAAAATCCTGATGTCAATGTAAGCACTTTATTGTTGTAAGGGGCTTAATTTGCTGATGACAAGATTGATCAGAGATCAGCAGCATTTGTTATCGTAACAGCAATGTACTTGGAAACACATCAAAAGGTGAGAGTTTAGTTATACGTTGCTCTTAGCAATATTCCAGCAATATCACAGCAGGGTAGACCAGAAATGGGCTTCACACATTGTACACGTGGGGAATCGAACCCGGTTTTTCGGCATGATGAGTGAACACTTTAACCACTAGGCTACCCCACATCAAAAGGTGATTTTCAATTAAAATTAAAATACTTTACCGGTACATGAAGAGTAAGATAAGAGACCTTAGACACATACATTGCAAAAACAAATAGAGAATAAGTAAACTTTACATTCACTTCGCTCAATTCTGATGCTACCAAGAAACAAAATGTCAATAACAATTTGAGATTTATCATAAATCATATGTATATGTTACAGATTGTGAAATCAGTCATAAAAAATTCAGTTATTTCGTGAAATGACTAAGAGGATCAGCCATTTCGTTATTGGCTATATAAATAGGTTTGGACGATTCCATCAAATTTGATGTAAATGTGCTTGATAACGATTGCCAATGTTCGCGATGCACAAAACAAATCGCCAAAACGCATTTTGTGGCCCCGACTCTCTGAAACACGAAACACATGTCTTAGTCAGATACATGGGAAAGATAAATGGCCTGTCCAACACTACAACATCACTGCACATAATGTCACACAGAGAGGTGACGTGAGGTGAAATTGGGTTTAACATCGTGCTTGAGAATATGATGACGTGCATGCGTGTGTATGTGTATGTGCGGCTGCTTGTACTAGCCCAGACTTAAGCTGGTTTTAAAGTGCTAGACCACTGAGATACCATGCCGCAGTGAAGCATGAATACCCCACTCAGACACATTATACTGACTCCGAGTCGACCAGTCCTTGATGTACCCATTTATGCCGAGCGCCAGGCAGGGACCAATAAGTACCATATTTTAACGTCTTTTGGAATGACGCGGTCGGGGATCGAACCCCCGACCTTCCGCTCTCCGGGCGGATGCTCTAACCACTACACCATGGAGGTGGTCCACACAGAGAGAATGCCAAGGTTAACCCAGGAAGAAAGAGAACAAGCAGTAGGGATAGTTGAATGGCTGACCCTCTTAGATATTTCACGAAATGACTGAAATATTTGTCATTTCACAAAATGACTGAAATATTTGTCATTTCACAAAATGACTGAAATATTTGTCATTTCACAAAATGACTGATTCCACAATCTGACTGTAACATATATAATGCAAGACAATAAAACATCAGTAACAGTGACTGGCTACAAAGACACAAACAAGGATGAAAGGGAGACAACTCTTTTCAGAGTCCCCATTCCAATCAAGTTCATATTCATAAACCCTGCTCATGATCATTTTAAAATACAATTCACATTAATCCTAACACTAAACTCTATCAGCAAGGACACCTATCCATATTTAATGTGGATTATCTAACCTGACAAACCTTGTACATCCACCACATTCCTGCTTTGGTGATCAGGAAATGTACCTGTCTTAGTCCCCGGTGGATTATCTCCCTTGTCTCCCTTGGATTATCTAACCTTGTCCATCCACCACATTCCACCGACGGTTATCTGTATTGTTCCCTACAGATTATCTCCCCTGACTAACTCTGTCCATCCACCACATTCAGGCTATGATTATCTGTATTATTCCCTACAGATTATCTCCCCTGACTTACCTTGTCCATCCACCACATTCCTCAGAATGAAGCAGGCTCGGAGTCCATGGCCATTACGACGAGTACAGATACCAACGAAGCGGTTTGTCTTCCCAGCTGTATATTTGTCTGCCACTGTCACAGCCAGAACACTGCCTGAAGTCAAACAGGGAAACATTGAATTTGTATGTTATATTATATATTTAATATTTAACAGAATTACTCGGGCAGCACTTCAACACAAAAGTAACCCTAACAGGAGTTATTCAGCTCACTACCATTGTTTCACAATCACAGCTACAAGTGAGTGAACTTAGTTTTACAAAGCTTTTAGCAATATTCCAGCAATATCACGGCGGGGGGACACCAGAAATGGGCTTCACACGTTGTACACATGTGGGGAATCAAACCCGGGTCTATGGTGTAACCACTTGGCGACAAAGCAAGACAATATCATAATCTTACCGTATGTTTCTATTTCGACTAGACCAATAACCAGATGTGGAATGTCTCGATTAAAAGAAGCAACACTTTGAATAGACTTCAAACTACTTGATAACCAAGATGCTACATTTTCTTTATCTTTGGCTCAAAAAATGTTGGTCCTTTGATTACTATTCTGTAAACTGGCATATTGTGTAAATTAAGCAGAAATCTGGTTTCGCTGTTTGGCTGCAAACTTCAAACAAATAGACAAACATTCTTCACATTTGGCACCTATATCCTAGTTCACACTGACACACACTTGAGTGCTAATATGACTGACAAAAATAATGAGCTCATCCACTGACTACCTGTAAGTGAGTCAGAATAGTTTTACGTTTCTTTTAGCCATGTTCCAGCAATAACATGGTGTCAGGACACGAGCAATGAGCTCAACATATTGAGGAATCAAAGCCAGGTCTTCTCAATGACAAGCAAACACTTTAACCTCTAGGCTAAACCACCACATCCTAACTACAGAATTGTACAAACTTGTCAAAACATTCAGTGAGAAAGATTCTCAGCACTTTCAGTAATACTTTGATCCTAACTCAGAAGAGGCATGGTCAAAATTATAAGCTTCACAACTTGTATCCATCAATCAATCCATGTGTATAACTTGTTATAACTAACATGACAAGACTAACTCGTATAAGAAATCCTATTGTTAAGGTTTAATGAACCGTAACACACCGATACAAATTAGAGAACAAAAGTTTTATCTGTAGATGGACTAGGTTTTATCAACAAGAGAACTCACTAATTAAAGTATGCCATATCAAACAACCTACCAACATAAAACTCTGGGATTTCAATTTGTTCTCGGCGTCGGTACATGTCCTCCCTCTCTAGCAGTTCTCGGACTCGGTCTCGGTGCTCCACATGTGGTGATGGGAGGAACTCGGGCATCACATTGCTGTAACACAACGTTGAGTGAGTGAGTTTAGTTTTTACGCCGCTTTTAGCAATATTCCAGCAATATCACAGAAGGGGACACCAGAAATGGGCTTCACACATTATACCCATATGGGGAATCGAACCCGGGTCTTCGTCATGATGATCAAACGCTTTAACCACTTGGCTACCCTAATGCACAATGGCCTGACCTGAAGTCTGGAGGCAGTTCCACATGGCGCCGCACGACTACGTTCTCAATGTCCTTTACATCAGGGTGCTGGGACAGTGGTGTTCGCCGATGACGCTCCACCTTCTCATTGTCTAGGTAGTTGATCACTCTGATGTCATTGCGACCTGAAGCAAGTAACCTCAACAAATGAAAAGCTGGTCACTATTCAGCACAAAATTAGGTCTATATGGTACACACACCTATCCTTGCCAGGGTGATGAGTACATGTATATGGAAATAAAGTATGCCTGTCATCTGGAACAAACAACACCCAAAACCCTGAAGTGATTATTATGGTGTATTAATACATTAGCTGTCCAAAACCAAGAATCTGAATGATTCATCTTTCATCTTTCTAACTGCACAGGCAATAAAGAACATGGCAAAACTATTTGAATTTGAATAGGATATTTGCACTTTCAAATTAAATGTCCACACATTAAGGCTTATCATTCGTGGCAATAAATTGTTATATTAAACTCATCGTACATGTACATGGAATAAACGTTATATTACACCCATCGTACATATTCACAGAATAAACTGTCTCGTATTACCTGTTTCATATTGTATCAGTTTACTCGTCTTTAGCATTGCGATTTATTGCACTTCAAATAATAACTGCGGTATTTTATTTATATCTATTATAACTGGGATTACCTGATACCACTGATCTTTTGCAGAAATTATCATACGTCCTGACTGACAGTCTCAATGACCTCAACTTTCTTGCTAAGGATGCCATGCTTTTGCTCCCATGACTGTAATGCGTCGGCGCAGAACACTTCCGCTTCCGGTAGAAACGGGGCACCTGTCTTGGATGTAAACATGATTATTTCTTGAGATATTCAACAGTAAGTTTTACTTTATGAGCTTTTTCTTTTAAATGTTGTTTTTCAATAAGGATAAGAATTTGACCAGAATATTTAATCATCTGTGAATTTGAATATCTTGACTTAACGACCGAATGTGCATCTTGTTTTGTTATTGGTTCAGTTTTCGATCACCTGCTTCCACAGACGTGTTATGTTGTAGAACAGCATTTCCCAAAGGCAATTTTTACAGTTACAGTTTGCACATAGTTGCCTAGTTCTGTGGAGATGCTGAACTTGTTTGCCCGGGCAAGTGCATTACTCTGCGGCCTTTACTCTCCCTGCGACAGACAGATCGCAGGTGCCTCTTCGATCTTACGTCAGTTACTGTTTGTTGCATTGGTGTAGTTTACCGCTGACTATGTATACTTTGAACATGTCACTATATATTTCAAACATAAGTTGAATATATCACTGTGTCTACATGTCACTGACATGTTCTTCCCAGATGACTTTGACCTGTAGACATCCCTCCTGACTGAATGGTCGCCAGCTACTACTGACACAATGAAGAGAGGGCCAAGTCCTTCATCCAGTGATGCCACTTCTCCAGGCAGTTGTGGCCCCTCCCCAAAGATCCCCCGCCTTGGTTCATCTGTCACAAGACAATGGTTCCGTCATCCCCCAGGTGGGCGTGGTGCCAGCAAAGGTTCAGACTTAGGGAAGGGTTCTTCGGGCTTCGTCAAGCCAGGCACCAAGACAGCAGGACCCTACATGCTGGGTAGGTGACTGCAGAGTTCCAAACCATGTTCATGTTGGACTTTCTTTCAAACTTGATTTACCAATCCACTGATTCAAAAAACATTTTTTCTTACAGTGAAAGCAGTAGGTAGTTTATGCCACCAATAAAAGATCTGTAATCCAAAATAGACAATAGATAAGACATTCAAAATATGTTGTAATTTTTGTTCCATATTTGTGTTAAGTAGGATAAATATTGACAATGCTTACTGCAATGTTTGACAAGTACACTTGCCAGATAGAGACCTGCTAGAAAACAACATTCAGCAACAGTAATTCTAAAACGTGGTCTGACAAGCTCGATGTATATAAAATGTTCACTTCCTGGTTTGGTATCCTTTAAAAAATGGAATAATTGACAGAATATTTGTAATAGAAAGGTGTGAAATATTATTATTAAGCTAGTCAGTGGAAGCAGAGATTTAGTTGTTGCACCTTTCCTGCTACAGCCTGATTGGCTACCTGACACTTGATGACAACTGCTGATGGTCTCACTCACTCACTCACTGTTGACCATGGTAACAATATAAATTTTAACTAATCCTGCACTACTTACTTCCTGCACTTATTGCTTACGGCTCGAAAAGCGTGGCTTGCCAGACGTTGTTAAAAGACGTAGAACTGCAATCACTTCATGGTCTCGGCTGCTGCTCGTCTGCGTATGTGTCACCGGAAGGTGACGTCAGCCACCTCAGATTATATTTCGAACCATAAGCAATAAGTGCAGGAAGTAAGTAGTGCAGGATAAGTATACAAATATAAAAAATATTTAGATTTTACTAATATCAATATGGAGTGGTTGGAATAATGTTTATTTCAGTTGGTATTGGTAGTGTACAAAATAGGTATAATAGTATGGAAAAATTAAACTCAAATAAACCAATAACTGCACAATTTTTAAAGTGTACTGGTAAGTAGTAAATACCAATATTTTACAGAAATCATTGTCATGACTATAGCAATAACAGCAGTTAAGGCATCTTGTAATATTTCATGTATGTATTGACAATAGTGAGTACTTTATAAAATTATAAAATTATTGTAAGAGGTACAACCTTATGCAGACATGGCAAGTATTGTGATACCATGGCAGCTCTATCATGGTACCATGTTTTCACATGTTTTGGGTCCTTGAGTATAATGCACACCATTCATTCTTGGGTACAAGTTCTTGGAGGAGGAGATACTTTACATATAGAGTGCAGTCAACTATGTCATATTGCTTCAGTTGAACGAACAAGAAAACCAACTTTGTAAATGAAAATATAAACATTCTAATCAAACATGGTGCTACTATTTTAGTTGTATATCCTGGGAGATATGCATTGTTTTACAGGCAGAGATTAAGATTATTGTTGGTATTTGTAATGAAAATGAGCCAGAATCAATGATCTGTTGCTAGGGGTGGGCGATAATACCGGTTAACCAGTATATTGCAATTCAAACTTCACAATAAGATGTATTGCGGTACACTTTTTGCGAACCCGTTCACCCGATATGATCAGCAATTTCCGTGACCATGATCAGTAATTGTTGTGATGTAGTCAAAAATACTAATAACATTTGTATTTCCTTTATAATAATATACAATAATAGTTTTGAGAATGTTTATTGGTTACATACTTGCATTTGCGTGACTTTTAAACCATATAAATAGAAAAAATAGATTGGTACCGGCACTCGGTGTAGGAATAAACAAACCAAATGGCAGAAGCTGCTGCAGACGCTTTTTTAAACTTTAAAGCGAAGTCATCAATTTGGAAACATTTTCAATTGATCTCTTGTATAATCACATCTGAGCCCTGACAGTGGACAGTGGAATTGTTTTAAAAGAAAGGAAACAGTAATTTCATTACCTTAACCCATGTGTTACACTTTCACAAGATATTGCAATACATATTGCAATACGCTAACACATACCGCAATTTATCATCTAATGGAGGTTGTTATCGGTGCAGTAAAGCAATCTGATACACTTGGTATCCAAATCTGATAACTATGCAAATTACGTCAATCCACGAACTACTTTTGCAAAACTCCATACACACCATGCGAATCCTAAAACATCATTGATGACGTTGTCATGAGTTTACATTGTTTGTAAACAAACATGGCTGCCCCCATTCTCAAAATTGGTGATTCTGTAAGAATTGATGACTGAGGTTCTGGAGTCGTTACTGCAGTAATTGACTTTGGAAAACATGAAACGGAGTACTTCGTTCACATTGAAGGTACGGATTATGAGGTACGACTGAAAGGCAATTGTCTAAGAAAGGTACCAACCAAGGATTTCGATCTATCGATCACAATACAGACGACGAATCGATTCTGTCATGTATCAGAAACTGATATTGATGGAGGGGCGGTGGGGTAGCCTAGTGGTTAAAGCGTTGTCTCGTCACACCGAAGACACGGGTTCGAATCCCCACATGGGTACAATGTGTGAAGCCCATTTCTGGTGTTCCCTGCCGTGATGTTGCTGGAATATTGCTAAAAGCGGCATAAAACCAAACTCATGTAAAGGTTCAGTGAGTGACTCATCACAGAAAACTATCACAGTACTTTATCATTTGTGGGGTAACTATGGCAACACTATCACAGTATTTGATCATTTGTTGGGTAACTATGGCAACACTATCACAGTACTTTATCATTTGCGGGATAACTATGGCATTGGCAAGACAATCAGAGTTCTTTATCATTTGTGGGGTAACTATGGCAATACTATCACAGTACTTTATCATTTGCAGGAAAAAATATTAATGATATCGATATGAAAATCGTGTTATAAATAGTATTGTGCATTAACTTTTGGGATGATTAAGTTTAATATTCTGTCGAAATACAAATTTAGGACTTTATTCATGGTCTGCTTCTAAATTATGTTCAAGATGCTGTTTGTTAATAATCCATGCAAAAACATGTCACCACTCACCAGTGACGTGAAATATATTAATTTCTTTCAGAAATTTTTGTTAAAAAATAACTGCGATTTTTATCAATAATGGATTTATATGTAGTTATCCACAATTATCAATGTCTATGATCTATATCGATTGATTTGTTTTAAACATATTTTATTCAGTGAAGAAAGGGATGAGGAACAAGTTATCCAACTTAGGTAACCATCTCTCCAGTATTTACAACATGATAAATATACAACAACATACATGTAATATAGAAAGAAATATAGTACAGAAATGGTAGAGACCTATGTATGGAGATACTTATTAAGACATATGAAAATAGTTACAGTATTCAAGAAAAACGCTTGCTATTTGATATATAATGCTGAACCGCTTTAAATACTGCATGATTTTCAGTATATGATAAGTTCTTGCTGCCATTTAATAATAAATCTAAATTTAAACCATCATCATGTACTTGTAATTATAAAAGGTTTAACATTTTCGTTCTGTGTTCGTTATATAGTGAACACTCAAACATGAAGTGACAAACATTTTCTCGTAAATTCCCACATTCACATTTTGAGTCTGACCTAATGCCAACATTAAATAAATCGTTATTCAATTCACTAACATGATATCTTAAACGAGTATGAATAATATTTTGTTTGCGGATACCTGTAGAAAAATATGCTGGTGCCATGACAATAGGTTTCTTCAAATATGATTTAAACGTCTCTGTTGATAGTAACATTCGCTTTTCTAATGGGATATTATTCCATAATACTGTCATTGATGGGATAAAAGATTGACATGAGTGTTAAGTCTATATGATGGTCTTACAAAATTTTCAGAGTTTCTAAGGTCATAAGTTCTAGAGTCACGAATAGTCTGAAGAAGTAAATCTATCAGATAAGAAGGTGCATTACCACATTTCATTTTATGATATAATGTTAACTTTCTTCTTTCTCTACGTACTGATAATTTTTCCCACCCAGTTTCAAAATAGAGATATTTAAGTGGTGTATATTTTGGTAAACAGTGACAATATGGGCTGCTTCCAGTTGTAGTTGTTCTAATCTCAATGTCTGTTCAGAATTACACCCATCCCAAACCTCGCAGGCATATTCAAAATGTGGTCTGATAAACATAATATGAATCTTATTCAAAATTTGCCTACTTAGTAAGAATTTTAATTTACGTATGGAGTTTATCATCTTAGAACTTGATATTACTATTTGGTCAATATGCTTATTCCATTTCCCATCTGCCGAAAACGTTAGACCTAAGTGTTTATGTTCGTTCACATTACTAATTTCACATTCATCAAAGTATAAAGTTATGTTATCACTTTGTTTTCTAAGGGTAAAAATGATAGCTTCTTTTTTATTTGGATTATATTTAACCAGCCTAAGTTTTCCCCAAGAGCTCAGCTTCTGTAGGTTGGTGTTTATAGTAGACTCAAGCAGTCTATGATCAATTGATGAAAATCCAAGTGATGTATCATCAGCAAACAGCCTTATCAAACAATTTAGTTCATCAGCAATGTCATTTATGAAAACAATAAAAAGAAATGGACCCAATAATGATCCTTGGGGAACACCAGCTGTCAACTATACCGGCTTGATAATGCTCCATTCACAAATTGCCAGATTGACTACGATTGCTTACATAACTTGATAACCACTGGAGCATGCCTCCTGTTAAACCATACATTTCCAATTTACACATAAGCCCCCTATGCCAGACACTATCGAAGGCTTTGGAAACATCACAAAACACCATACAAAATATTTCCTTATTATCCAAAGATAGACATATTTGATTATACAATTCAAGTAATTGATGTACAGTTGAGTGGCCTTTTTGAAAACCAGCTTGATACTTATAAAGTAAATTATTACAATTAAAATAATTATACAAATTGTTATAGACTACTCTCTCAAATACTTTTGCCACACAACTTATGAGAGATATTGGTCTGTAATTTGAAACAATGGAGTGGTCATCTTTTTCAAATAATGGCAAAACGTGTGCTACTTTCCAATTACTGGGATAAGTAGAGGATTGCATTGAGTAATTGACTAAGACACATAAAACTTTACTTATTAAATCAACTGTTTTCTTACCGTCCGTTTTCTTGTTGAATTTTTAAATAAACAACATAATTAGCATTGGAAAGTCAACTGGACACCGGTACAGTGCAATATACAAGTTTGCTTGCCCGACAGAAAAAAACACTGGACTCGGATGTCGGGCAATGGGTTATTTGCACCCCTGTACAGATTTGAAATATTCATTCAACTTGGTAGCTATGTCAAAATCAGTGAATAAGGATGGCCCTTCTTCATTGTCATTGTTATTTAGAGGTGATATGTCTGACGTTACTTCTGACTTTCTAACTACATGACGTAGAATTTTCCAGTATGATGATTTTTTAACAGTGTATAACTCTGTGAGTAATTCATCTAAATTTCCATAAAAAATTTCTTTGGCATAATACTTCATATTGTTTACTCTGTTTCTCTGTTTCTTGTAGGCTAGGGTTTCATTTTCCTTTCCAGTTCTTTTGCTTGCTTTCCTAATCTATCTCGACATCTACATTCACGTCTAAGTTCTGAATCAAACCATGGTTTGTCGTTTGGTCTTATAGTAACTATTTTAGTTGGAATACACTTTCTAATCACCTCATCTAGTCTCTCATCTATATCCATAACCCCATATAGCTGGAATATTGCTGAGTGTGGCGTAAAACTAAACTCACTCACTCACTATATCGATAACCAGCTCTAGTAACTATGGCAATCCTATTACAGCATTATAACAGTTCTGTAGCTATGGCAACACTATTACCATACTATATTAATAGTTATGCAACACTCCTAATACTATATCACTTGTGTGTGACCATGGCAATTCTTTAACAATGATATAACAGTTGTGATATAACTGGCAATGTTACAAATACTGTATCAAGTGAAGTTTTAACTGTGTCAGTTTTGCTTGTTCGTTGTGAAACGCCACACTCAGCATTATTCCAGCTATATGATGGCAGTCTGTAAATAATCAAGTCTGGACCAGACAATCCAGTGATTGTCATCATGAGTATCTACACAGTTGGGATACAATGATTACATGCATCCCAGTCAGACACCCGGTCTTGTTAGTCGCCTCTTACGACATGCATGTGTTGTTGAAGACCAATTCTAACCCGAATCTGTATGGTTTGGAATTAGGAGCACACCTGTCAGTCAGGTCAGCATGACCTCTTGATCCAGGGGTGTTGGAACGGTTTTCAGAGCAGGGGGGGCTAATTTATAAAAAAGTATTGAAAATCAAAATGAAATTGTAGTTATGGTAAGGTAGATATGGTTTTGTCTTGAAAAAAGTTGGGGGGCCTAAGCCCCCCCTGTTCCTACGCCCCTGTGATCCCAATATTTGCCACTTACAAGAAGCATGGGTTGCTGAAGATCGTGATCAGTCAGAGACGTAATGTGTATGCAAAACTGCCTATCGTCTCTTGTATGCAAGACGGGTGCACTCTGTGATACCAAGTGAAGCTCTTGACCCTAATTAAATCAATCTCCAACCAACTTGATTGGGTGCAAATGATGAATGAGCTTTTAGAAAATACTAAACATAAGTTGCTGAAAAATATCCACATAGGTGAAATTTGCTGATAAATATCATCAAATTTAGCTTAAATTTTGCACATTTTTGTCATAATTTGACTATTTCATTTTTGCCTTTTATGTTTTCATTCATTGTCATTCAATAACTTGAACAACTATCAATGACTGTTCCAATTTTGTTTCATTATTAAGTAAATAACACTTTTAGATGCATTTTAGTGTGACATGCAGAATTTCACCGTTAGTGGTCAGGCAGTCACACAGATGAGTGATCCCTTCTCAGGTAGTCACTTGTATGTGTAACGGAAGACCATCTCGCGTACACATTATGTCCTCTACCAGTTCTCCATGAGAATAACTGTGACAATCAGTGTTCGAAATTAACTTGTTTAAGAAGTAGCAGGTACTTGCTACCTGGTTTAAGAATAGGTAGCAAAATCCCTTACCTGGTAGCAGCATTTTTTCGTATTGCGTAAAATACATCATATAATCAGTTCATAGCATCTTAAGTACCTCTGCATACTGGTGGTATATTATTTATCAAGTTATGCAAAACTGATACCTTTACTTGTACTAGCAGACGACGTTATATCGCCCTTACGCTTCAGGAACTGATGAAAGTCCATTATCAAACATTGGAAGCAGTATTGTAATACTTCTGTGCATGCCAGTCGACTGGTTCTATGTCGCAAATATGCGAGTTTTGCGATGCGTAAGTGACCAAGAAAAGCTACGATGAGCATTTTTGGGAAAATGAAAACGCAGTATCGGTAAGTTTACGAGTGAAAGTGCACAAGTGGAGATCTTTCCTTTGAAAATGATGGCTAATTGATGAACGTGAGTGGTTTCAGTAAAAAATACCAGGTAGCAAGTTGTTGCTACTGTGTGGGTTTTTTCAGGTCGCAAAATAGGATTTTGAATAGCAAATTTGCTACCTCAAAGCGTCAATTTCAAACCCTGGACAATGATCACAAGTTACAAATGACACAACGTTTGTTCTTCGGTAGGCCATGTTTAGTGCTCTGCCCACTTCCAAGAGCCCTTGTGTTGGAGAAGCATACTCTCTCTGTTCCATACTGCTCCTGCAGGGCTGTGATGTTCACGTCCTCCGTATACAACACCTCAACATGGAGGGCCCGGGTCGTGTGTACCGTCAGTCCCTCTCTGTAAAGGAACGGATTGTCGCAGGGGTCCAGCTGGAGCAGGGTTGCCTCACAGAATCTGTCTGTGTCTGAATCTTTTATTGTCATGACAACTGTCACGTAATGAGCGCTATAGGTGCAATAAAAATCGGTGAAATATATATTTGTGTTTTGTGTGAAGAGCCCTTCAACTGGTACATCCAGTCTCCGGTTGCCATAATACGAGAAAGTAGGAATATTTAAAGTCCCTCTGTCAAGAGAGACGCTGAAAAAGAGGCCATCAATGTTGTTGTTGATTGGGGAGTGTGCATCCCCATTCCTGTCTTTGATGTATTTCTTCATCAGTCCAGCCTTGTTTTCCATGATGTCGTCCATTTTCTCCCGCGGCTTGTTCCGGAACATGACCTTGACCTCATGTGTAGATTGATGTCTCAGCATGAATAACTCTGCTTTTGCCTTCAGTCTCTCCAAATCGTCCTTAGTCATCACTGTTAACATAAATATTACATGTTATTCAGAGGTATCTGTATGTGGCAGTGTTATTCATTGTGAAACAGTGTTGTATTTGTATTACATTGCTTCTGTTGAGATTCAGTAGAGGGTAGTGGTGTGGTGTGTATCAGTAAAGACTGACTGACTGACTGGTTTTACACCGCTTTTAGCAATATTCCAGCAACATCACGGTGGGGGACACCAGAAATGGGCTTCACACATTGTACCCATGTGGGGATTCGAACCCGGGTCTTTGGCGTGACGAGCCAACGCTTTAACCACTAGGCTACCCCACCGCCCCCGTATCAGTAAAGACTGGTCTGGAATCTAATAAGGACAATCAGAATACTGTAGCATTGTCTAACCCAGCCAAAACATTCAGGAGTGAGTGAGTTTTGTTTTACATAGCTTTTAGCAATATTCCAGCAATATCATGGTGGGAGACACCAGAAATGGGCTTCACACATTGTAACCATGTGGGGAATCGAACCCGGGTGTTCCTCGTGACAAGTGAATGCTTTAACCACTAGGCTACCCCACCGCCCCAGAACTTTCAGGAGCTTTATATACATGTATGTACAAAGGGGCACACTCTTGTCTTTGTGATCCCACAGTATCTCACATTACACAAAGACCAGCAGTTGCACGAAAATCACTTTTTAACCGAGGCCTTTTTCAGAAGCTTGACCACTGTTCAAGAGTATTAATCACATTCTTTATTGTTATTACTAGTATTACAGCTTGTATTCCATGTGTACATGGTACCATTCTTTTTTGTACTGCCATGGTATTCCTTTGCTATTGTTATTTTGACTTGTAAACTTGGTTTATAAATACAGGGTAAACTTATTGTTTCAACATGGAATTCGACATGTTACAGATACAATGTTGACTTCTACCTAATGTCATAGTCATGGCTGAAATGTCACTAGTTCACAAGCAAAAATATGTTCATTTAAAGTTATCTGTCGTATATCAAAGGCTCATATCAATGTGGATCGGGCCCCTGGTCATTAGTGTCTGGACATCCAGGAGTCAGTGGATCACTTATTAACAGATCTGTCAATTAGTTACTGGTTATTTAGGGACTGGTCATTTATAATAGGGTTTGGTCATTTAGTGACCACCGGGGGATCAGTTAGGGCCTGGTTATTTTTGTATTTGTCAGGCTACTGTGAGATGTGATTCAGTATGAATGAAAAGCATCTTATGAACAATGAGAAGCTTTCTTTGCTGATTGTATCAAGTAATCTATTGAATCCAATAATTTGTTTTGCACCTGAATTCAGGGTAAAACCTTTCGATTTTCGCTGACATTGGTACTTTATGTGTCCATGGTGATCTGTCCTTGTTGTCTGCAGGACGATTCCATTATAAGCTTGTCTGGGGGGTAGTGGGAATGGGACCTTCACCCCCAAGGCAGGCATAGGGGTCTCAAGGAGATACTGGGTGTCGTCACGGTGCAGGTATATGAGAGTGGTGCTAGCATCAGGGAGGCTCTGTTCAGTCAGTATCTTGTAGTCTGCTGGTGGGGTGTATCGTGTGGAAACTTCAAAATCCTCCTGTTGAACATAACTTTTAATTACATATTACATGTAATTATATAGTACATGTAATTACATATTACATGGCTTTTGTTGTCTGATGAATATTCAGAGGTTTGTCTAGGATTATAAAATGACTGCCTTTAAAATGCACATTGATTTGACTTATGTTCTTATGTATTTTAGCATGGCATTTGATAAATTAGTGGCAAAAATGTGAAATTAATCATTGAAGCTCCTTTAACGTTCTTGGTTCTGTTATCAGTAAAATACAAAACACCTTGACAAAACATAACTTAGGGAATATTGTCTAATTTTCACAATTTAATGACAGTTGCTGCCAATTTGGTACCAGATAATAGACTATGATGATAGTGATGATTATTATGATGATTCTTATAAGAAGGAACAAAACTTCTGTAGCACATCCTCCAAGTTTGTAGTTAACCTTCAAGCATGTTAAGATCCAAGGAAACAATGTACTATGGTCTGCTGTGGTGCTGCTACGACATGTGACCTTACTGATTGTGCGTCCTCATGTTCCAAACGGCAGGGATCTCTGCTCATTCTTTTAGCCACTGGTTTGACTGGACACGACATGATACATTCCTGCCTCCTTGATAGAGGTGTACATATATGCAGGTTCTGGATCAATATCAGTGTGAACTTCATTCCTGGCTGTGTACCCGTGAAGATCAGGGTTAGAATTGGTCTTCAGCAACCCATGCTTCTTGTAAGAGGCGACCTAGTGTTCAGGCTCGCTGACTTGGTTGACACATGTCATTGTATCCCAGTTCGTAGATTGATGCTCTTGGATTGTCTGGTCCAGTCTCAGTTATTTACACACACCTTTATCATATAGCGGGAATATTGCTGATTAAACATACAAATCCTGGCTGTAATATCTTGTGATGGGATCTGAATCACGTCCCAAATGAACTTAGATGGGCGGACTTATTCAGAACCCCCATCACCTATACTATTTGGAATTCTGTTGATTGTAAAATATTATTAACTCACATGTTCTAAGCACAGTGACAGAAATGTCCTCCTTCTTAGGGAAGACATCCCCACTTACCATAGCCATCTTGGTATACACCAAACTGGTTGTGAGCGGAGTTTTACTGTTGTTGAGTGTTACGGACACTTCTGGTCCTGTAACAAAAAATGTTTTGGTTTCATAACAATATATGGTATGGATTTGAACTTCTTTATTATTTACAACATGAAAATCAAGCATCTGATGTTTGGGTTTGGTTTTTTTACAGCTTCTTGTTTCTCGGCATCTTGTGTTTTAAATTCCATCATGAATTCCTCCTCAACAGTTGGGAAAGCATGATCACAGGGTAAAGCATGATCACAGGGTAAAGCAGAGATTAATGTTCACAGGAACTGGACATAAAGGAATTGTTTAGTGTTTTGGCTTCCAAGGGAAGTAACTCTAATCTGAAGTCATAATGCTAACCAACACACAAAATTCTGAAATTGTTATAACTCCAGATGTCTGACACTGAGGATATAGTTGTTCCTATGAACACATAAAACTGGTAAATTGATAATTATCCATTCTTTCATTTAATGAAAGTGTGGAGGTATGATCTATGTGCATTAAACTATGTTTATAATGAACTTACAGATATAACACACTGTTCTTTTTGTCACTGCCTCTTGTTTAATATTTTAGTCGAAAAGCATGTAACAAGCTAAGGGTATCATGAATTAAAATTAGTGTTCATTTTGAGTTCATGATAACCACAGAAAACTCATATACTCCCCATCAAAAGTCTAGACACACTAATGTAAATGTAGCCACTTACTTAAGTCAACTGTTCTAAACTAGATTTTGCAAAATTTTCCATACTGTTTGAAGGTACTGTTTACACATGAACTGATGTATTGTAAACAAATTTGTAATGTTGGAAAGATTATTGTCATTGGTTAAAAAAAATGATGAAACTGAGTGAAAATTGGCAAATTTTTAACAAAATTTACACCACAACACAGCTGTTCACATGCACGATATTTGCAGATGCTTTTAGCAATTTAATGCATGATCCTCGTGCAATTCATCTGCATAAAGTTTGCAGTTGGTTCCCCAAAGTTAGTTGAGAAATTCATCTTCGATGTAACCACACATATATACATAACATATAGTGAGTGCTTTAAGTGAGTCTAAACTTTTGATGGGTAGTATATTTCAGGTTGCATCCAATATGATATTTAGTACTGCAGATGTACACAGAACAACACTTCAGTATTAGACTTAAGTACATTTGCATTTAATAAGTTTTAAGGAAAATATCAACCTGTAAATATGCCGACTGTGACACTGCCAGAGTTCAGCACTTGAAACATGCGTAGACTTTGTTGGACAGTCGGCACTATCTTCACCCCATACACCAACACAGTAGGTCCACCGTCATCTGTTGGATCCAGTGTCAGTTCTTCTGGGTCCAGGTCCTCAGTCTCAATAAGGTACATGGCATGATACGAACCAAGTGGTTTGTACACCACCACAAAGAGATGTGTAACTTCATCATCGCTCCAGGACAGTGTCACGTTTACATCGTTGGTTTCAGTCCTTAATGAAAGTGCGAAAGATTTAAACTGAAAGAGAAATCAAAACACTTGACACTAGGGCTGGCTATCAATAGAGATCGATAATCATTAACTAAATATCTACTGATTGTCGATAAATATCGGAGAGCAAAAATGTCTGAAAGAAATAGAGATATCTCAAATCACTGGTGAGTGGTGACATGTTTTTCCAAGGATTCTTAACCAAACAGCATCCTGAACATTATTATCCCCGCCCTTCGCTTAAGCTCGAAGCGGGGGATATAGTATTAGGCTCCGTCTGTCCGTACGTACGTATGTACGTACGAATTGGAATATCTTAAGAACCGTTGACTAGATTCTTTTCATATTTGGTACCTAGTTTCATCACAGTATAAGAGAGGTCAAACTCAGGTTTGGTGACCTTGACCTTCATTTCAAGGTCCCAAGGGGACTTTAACATTTTACCTGCATGTTAAGCTATATCAAGAACCATTCTCTGGATTTTCTTCATATTCAATTATAAGCTTTATCTAGGGAAGGCACAGGGCCCAGTCAATTTTGGTGACCTTCACTTAATTTTCAAGGTCATGGCGACACTTTGAAGATTTCAGCATGTAAACCTGCATGTTAAGATAGTCAGCAAGATATCGCAAAAAAATATTCACTGGATTTTCTTCATATTTGACGCCAAGCTTCATCTAGGGTAGCCCAGGGCCCAGTCAATTTTGGTGACCATCACATAATGTTTAGGGTCACGATGACACTTTGAAGATTTCAGGTTGTTAACCTTAATTGTCAGCAAGATATTTTAAGAACGGTTCACTGGATTTTCTTCATAGACTTTTAAGACTTCTCTTGAATGTTTTTCAATAAGCAATTTCTTTAGTACTAGTTTTGCATATTTCATACACTATGACATTCATGTCAAGGTCAAAGTCAGTCTTGAAAATATGTGTGTGTTTGAACAACTAAAGAGCCAGATATCAAGAGAGTTTGATTAGTCATGTTTTTGTTGACATTTAACTTCATCTTAAACTTTCAACTTTCATAGTTTGATTTGATAATTTGCAGTGGGGGATTATGTCACCTTAGTGACAATGCTTGTTTAGAAGCAGATCATGACTTAAGTCCTGAATTTGTATATTGTGTGAGAAAATTAAATCTTTTTCCTAACACAAAAGTTAATGAATGATATTATCGATAACACAATTTTTTTATTGATAATCATTAATCATCTTTCTTATCGACCAAATTTCCAATTATTGATAATTTTCACCAGCCTAACTTGACAGGTCGCCTTGACACTGCTTACATGGAGTACTGCTTGGCATACTCCCAGCTTAAGTCCTCCTTCTGTTGTGCATTTATTGACATTTGATAACTATTGATTATACATTGATTATTGATCAGTGTAATTTAACGCAAATCAAACAGTGATTTTGTTTCTGATGACACACAATTGAATTTTGTTCAAGGTAAATTGATTTTGCAGGCATCATATGATTATTGAACAATGAGTATACACTTGATAGTAATAATTGATTTTAGGTTCACAAATTATTTACATCCAACTCAAACACTCGCCCAGCAGAGAGTCCTCATTTATTAGTTATAGAAGCATTCTACTTACATTGCTAGCCATACTGAATCACCAATGTGAGCAAGTCCCTCGACCAATGTTACACTGCCATATGCATATCCAAGTCTGTGTGTAGCAGATCCAAAAGGAGGGAGATATAATGCTGCTACCAGTCCAATCGTGTATGAACAATGTTGGATTGTCAAGTAAGCCACTGTTATACCTTTCCTGGAAAGATATTTTGTTTCCGAGATTTGTATTTATAGCTCCAGCTCATCGCAAACAGAAAGTTAACAATCGATCAGCATGTCAAAGTCTATTGTTATGAATGTGGTAATTGTGCAGTATTAACAAAACTGTCGTGGATGCCAGTTTATGCATGTTGTTTCCTAGTAGTTTATAATGAGTTCAGTCCTATAGCAAACTGAAAGTGAAAGTACAGATTATTGACTGAGAAACAGCTACTCAAGCTATCTGTCTCTGCTGATATGGATGTGATTTTTGTTTTATCTGACAGACCAAGTCGATTGTTATGGGGGTGGTATAATGTAACACATAATACCATCACTGTCTGTGCAAATCTTTTTCTTTTTTTTTTTCTTTTTTTTATGTTTTAACTGTTCACAGATTTTTCCAACACTAAACGTGTAAAAAGTGACAGTGGTTATGTCACCATGAAAGCCATTTAAAAAATATGAAATGTCATATTTTCCCATTATAGTCTGTCAACCCAACTTTTGGGACACCCCCTTTGTCAAATATCTTCCAAATAACACCAAGTGACCACATGCCATTAACATATATCTTAATGATCCCCTTTGACGTAATAAGAAAAAATAGTTTTAACTTTGTTAGTCACTTGGGGGAAAAGTTACTTAGGTAACTATCATTAAAATTATCCTCAAACTACAATACTTTTTTCTGTAAGTGTATCATGCGCGATTTATTGTATTGTTTTGGTTAGACCAAAATGTTTGCTATGTCAATATGGATATTTCACTATATTACTTTTTGTATGATGACACTTTATGAAAATCAAATGTAACATGTGTCGGGTTCGGGACTACACCTTCTTAGTACTCGATGCATATGTCATGCTTGTCTACTGTTTCATCAAATTATATTCATATGCCATCTTGTATGCTTCACTGAAATGCTTGTCTACTAGTGTTTCATCAAATTATATTCATATGCCATCTTGTATGCTTCACTGAAATGAATAAAAATATTAAAAACAAAAACATAAAACTAACATTAAAATTTCTGTTTGTTTTGGTGTCAAGAGTCAGGGTTGCAGTAGTGAGTGAGTGAGTGAGTTTAGTTTTACGCCGCTTTTAGCAATATTCCAGCAATATCATGGCGGGGGACACCAGAAATGGGCTTAACACATTGTACCCACGTGGGGAATCGAACCCGGGTCTTCGGCGTGACGAGCAAACGCTTTAACCACTAGGCTACCCCACCGCCCCCAGGGTTGCAGTAAACGTAACAGCTTACGAGTTAGGTCAGCGCACACTTCATGTACATGACCTCAGGTCACAGTGGCGTGGACTTCAGGTTCACATGTCTATATCAGGGGAACATCTCAAAAGCATTTAAGAATAATAACACTTACGTTAGTCACCGTCAGACAATCCTGCTTCAAAATCAGAGCTACCAGTGTCAGTGTCGTCACCAAAGTCTAGATTGATCAAGATTGGTTGGACACGTTTCCTTTGTAGACCATCTTCAACCCAGTATTCTTCTTCCACTTTGATCACATGATTGACACATTGCTGCCATAATTCTGATGATAGTGTTGCTATTTCTTCGTTGACAATTTGTTTCACGTCTTTGAGTTTGAAAGAAACATTTTTTCATGCAGCTGAATCCTTTAAATTGCCCCCAGATCAGTTCAATTGGATTACGGTCACAGTGATAGGGCGGCAAACATAGAACTTCATGACCATGCTTTTTCAACATGGTGTCAATCAACAGGGGGTGGTTTGCGAGCTAGTATGATATCATACAGTTTAGTTTTAGTAGTTTTAGCTTGAACCAAAAGTCGATACCATGCCTGGACAACCAAGAAGTCATCTCATGTTTCCTGGAAGCGGAGGTAGGAGTCTTCTCCAGGGGATCTCTAACACTGTGGTATGGTGCGTTGTCCATCCCCACCAAACCAGGGGCGGATACAGCTTTTTGAGAAAGGAGGGGTGCACACTATTGAGAAAGGTGGGGTGCACACTTCATTTTCACGAGAGTTTCAATGGTCATTTAATAAAATTTCAGGACAAAAGAGAGGGTGCGCACCCCTGCGCACCCCCTCTGGATCCGCCTATGCAAACACTTGTCAGGTAGAGCAGGAAGTAGCTGCTCTGTGACGTATTCTGTGAACACTGTGGAGTTCATCTCTGTGTGATAGTCACGACCATCAGTATAGCTTTTAGGAAATGTATTATTTATCATTACCTCACTGTTTCTTCTTGTACAGTTACGAAATATAGTTTCCAAGAGGTGAGGTGAGGTGAAATTGGGTTTTACGTTGGCTTGAGAATATTTCGCTCATATGACGACGTGCATGTGTGTGTATGTGTATGTGTGGCTGCTTGTACTAGCCCAGACTTAAGCTGGTTTTATAGTGCTAGCCCACTGAGATACCATACCACAGTGAAGCATGAATACCCCACTCAGACACATTATACTGACTCCGAGCAGACCAGTCCTTGTTGTACCCATTAATACCGAGCACCAGGCAGGGACCAACAAGTACCATATTTTTACGTCTTTTGGTATGATGCGGTCAGGGATCGACCCTGCGGCCTTCCGCTCTCCGGGCGGATGCTCTAACCACTACACCACGGAGGCAGAATAGCATGTTTTGTTTGATTGTTTGTTGTTTAACACGGCAGTTATGAATAATCGAGTCTAGACCAAACAATCCAGTGATCATGAACGTTAGTTTTAATCTATGCAATTTTGATATGATGACGTGTCAACCTGGCCACCTGATCACCCGTTGAACTTCTTATGACAGGCATGGGTAGCTGAAGACCAATTCTATACCGGATCTTCACAGGTGGAATAACATGTAATATGTTTTAGGTATATCTTAGTGATGATCCACCTTCGACATTATGATAATCCCCTGTACCCATCACCCATTTTGCCCTGTTTATACTGAACTTTCATCTCCTCTTAAACCTGTCATTACTTAAGTTTTCTCCTCAAATTCTACCACAGTTGGTCATGTTACGTATCAAAATATATAAAAAAACTATCCAAAAATGTTCAGAGAACCAGAAATATACATATGAAAATCCACTGCATGATATCCGAATGGCTATAATTTGCACAAATTGGCTGCTCCAGCACACCCCACCACTCAGTTTTATATCAGTTGATAAAGGTGAGCTTCTGTACCTCTAGTACTATTGTGCACATGATTGGTAGAGCTGCAAGACTGATGTGACTGTTGAACAGTTACACTGATCATATTGCCACATATCCAGATAACCTTTTGTTAACAGTAGATGTTAAGTCATATCTGGACATGATTCAGTTTATTTGTGTTTTTTGTCGTGAAGCTGGAAACTAGCTGTTCTTTTTCAGTTATTGTTGTGGTGGGGTAGCCTAGTGGTTAAAGCGCTGGCTTGTCACGCCAAATATCCGGGTTCATTTCCCCATGTGGGTACAAAGTGTGAAGCCCATTTCTGGTGTCCCCTGCCGTGATATTGCTGGAATATTGCTAAAAGTGACTTAAAACCATACTCACTCACTCACTATTGTTGTGCAATACTGTGTAATTATATGTTTAATTATAGATAAACAATTACAAACCAATGTCTTGGAAACACCCATAGACTCCCAAGTGAAAGAACTAGGTGAATCTAAATAATTTGCTGTGGAGAGTTACTTCCCTTGAACATGAAAGGATCATGGGATCATGGGCTCTATATCTCTTATTGTCTGTAACCATCAGTTCCGGCCTCTGTCCATGTATGGCCTAACATAACTGACATACTGACTCTGATACCTTGTAAGGATTGCATGACACAATAGATCCCAGTATTGTCATGCTGGTCATCAAAGACCTCTAAAAAGATGATCAGGTTCACTCACTGTTATCTTGGAGATGGTGGGGTAGCGTAGTGGTTATAGTGTTTGCTCGTCACACCGAAGACCCTGGTTTGATCCCCATATGGATGCAATACAATTTCTGGTGTCCCCCACCGTGATATTACTGGAATATTGCTGAAGTGGCATAGTAAATTACCTCACTCACTCGCTCGCTCGCTCACTCACCCGCTCACTGTTCATAATGCTGGTGCAAAGTGTAACTTACTAAAGAACTTATACTCAAGGCTGGTTGCTTGTCATTTTACACCTATGAAAAGCTACTTTGCTTGTAGTCGGATGTTTGTCAAGTTCAGGCATGACTGTATACCAGACACAGCTGGGATATTGCTGCCTGAAGCATTAAACAACATTTACCCAATCACTCAAGATGACACAACTTCTAATCGCAGGTCCCCGACTTGGATCTTCGCCAGTACGGAGCATCGTCCAATGCCTGGCCAGGAAGGAAGGTACTGACGAGTTCTACACCATCAAGGTCAGGGTCATTTCTTATGGTGTGCCAGCAATAGAAGTAACTAGAAACATCCAAGGCAGAATATTTGTGTCTGTGGGCTTGTGCTCACTTCAAGGATACAATGACTTGTGTCAACCAAGTCAGCGAGTCTGATCTGGACAAGCGTAGGTTGCTGAAGGCAAATTCTAACCCAAAACATATGGGTGCATATGTGTGAAGATTCGCTAATTTGAAGGGCTGTGTATTGGCAATAAATTGTTTTGCAATATATTACAATTCTGGTACCTGTATTCTGATATGCATTGCGATCGGGAGCTTCAGTGTTTGGCAGTGAGGGACATTGATTGTTCTGGCAGAACCTATTTTCTACATACTAAACCCTCAAAAATTAATTTTATGGTTGTGATAACAGAAATGTCGAAATAAGATTTGATTTTGAGAGATTGTATTTTTTTGTTAAATTATTAAATTTATTGGATGTAAAGTAAGCTGTTTTGTCATTACAGTGGAAAACTTCAGTGTGAATGAAAGTCTGTGTATATATTAACTTTAACCATAGAGACTTTAATCATCAAATATTATTATTCCACAATATAGCAGTTCTGAGATAAACATTGCAATATGTATCGTTTGAAAGGCGTATTGCGATATACCGGTATATATGACATGT